TTAGGCAGCACCCAGGGAGAGCAGGGAAGCAGCAGGGAGCGTGATACTTACCCAGGTCCCGCCCCCAGCAGCCAGCCCCGCCCTCAGCTCCCAGGCCCCGCCTCTTAAGCGCGTGTCTGCTGCGTCACCACACGCCTTTCAAAGCCCTGCCACGTGTGCCCACGCGCACACAAACACATACATATGCACGCACACACGTGTGAATACTCGCGCAGTTTAAAACAAGATTTTCATATATGTTAGAAAAAAGCTTCATGGTATCACATAAAATAGTTATGAGGTGGTTTAATTCATGAAGAAAAATATATATAGTAGAAAAGCAAATATATTAACATGAATTCAGGTATGGTGGTGCACATGTGTAATTCTAGTGCTAGGGAGGATGAGACAGAAGGATGGAGGGCTCCAGGCCAGCCTAGACCACCTAGAACAGCTTTCCTAAAGATTAAAAAGCCTGAGACGTGAATACATGCTATTAGAGTACGCATGAAAAAATCTGGAATGTACCACACATCACATTACTTACTGTGTAATCATGAGTTATGTGCATAATTAAACAGTTTCAGAAAGGCACATATGGTAAAAATCTCAAAATGCAGAAAATTTTAAATTGGAATGATAATTTTTTTATATTGCAATCCTATTCAAAACATGTAACCATTAATGGTTTTTATAGATTCTTGTAGAATATTTTTATAAGCACACAAAATTTATCTGGATCTGGCAAAGACAGATGACTGTAATCTCAGCACTCAGGAGGCTGAGGCAGGAGGATCACCATGAGTTGTGGACCAGCCTGGGCTACATAGTGATTTTAAGACCAACTTGAACTGTATACTGTGATCTTGTTTCAAAACACAAATGAATAAAGAAATGTATGAATGAATTTCCCCCATAAATGAAAATTGAATTTGTTTTACTTAGCTATATCTTCTGCTGTGCATGTAAACCAGTGCATAGAGGTCTGTTCCTATGCTTTTTATAAAGCAGAAAAACTATTTTACTTCATTTTGCTACATTTTTATAAAGTGATTGGGGACTCAGAGAAGGAAAAGCCCATGGAAAGATGGTTAAGATGGGTGTCAGGGAAAAAGTGACCCTGCAGCTGATTCTTACACTTCTTTTTCTTTTTTCCTCCTTTTTTTGAGACAGGGTCTTGCTATGTAGTTCAGGCTGGCCTTGAACTGAATTTGTAGCCCAGGCTAGCTGCCTCAAACTCAAAACAATCTTCCTGCTTCAGCTTTCTGAATGCTGAAATTTCTCTCTCTCTCTCTCTTTCCTCTTTCACTCTCTCTGTCTTTTCTGAGATGGGAGAGGAAAAGAATCCTGCCCTGTTGTCCAGGTTGGACCAAAATGAGACCCTCTTGCTCAGCCCATGAATGGCTGGGGTTGCTGGCTGCACCAGCATGCCTGGCTCTGATTATTTCCCATCTGAGAAAATCTTCCTACGACCGTGTTACCAACTGGCCCGGCTGGACATGGGAGGCAGGAACCATGCACTAAAATGGCATCAGGAGTGAGCCGTGGTCAGCTGAGCCCACCTCCGTAACTACTCCTAGGAGACAACTTGACTTCCATGAAGGCTACACAATTCATTTTCATCCTGAGTTCTGTGTTTTTCTTAAAATTTTAAAAGAATTTTTGGGTTTGCTCTGACCCTTCATATATTTGGTATCTATCCAAAGATAAATCTCTTTTGGAAAGTTTAGCAAGCTGGTTCTGTTACTACTAAAATAGTCAGAAAAATGAAAACCAAAATCGTCTGCCTTCAAAAACAACTATATTGGTAAATATCAGGATTTTTGAGATCACAAGGAATATAGAAGCAAAGAAGCCAATATAAAGGAGGAGGGCTGAGGGAGTGACAGTTGTTTTAACAGAGACCTTTGTCACCCAAGTTTGAGATGAGACAATGCTACGGGTGGAAAGCAGAGCTTTGAAAGACACAAACCATTATGAGGGCCGGACCAGTCTGGGCCCCAGAGAGAGATCTTGTCTCAAAAAACAAAAATTAATGAAAATTGAGTTTCTCTTCTTCCCTTTGCACGCCTCACCTTGTTGATAAACAAAGATAAAAATCCTCAGCAAAACATCTTCACTCTTGAAAGCTCCTTCTATAAATGTAGTTTCCCCTCAGAGCTGTGCTTATCTAAATGGCTTGAACAGAGCTGGTGAGCGGTGCATCTGTAGGACACAAGCTTGGCATGCTCGAGGCCCTGGGTTCCACCCCCAACACTTAAAAAAACAAAATATCCGTGGCAAGTGCAAGGTCCTGAGTTCAATCCCGGTTCAAAAAAAGTTCTGTCCATGTATCTATCTGTCTCTGTCTATCCATCTATGGATCATTTATCACTTTAACAACTGAAATGTTACATGGGATGAGAGTTTTACAAGATTTCCTGTTGAACTGAGCATGACACTGCACACCTGTAATCCTTGCACTCAGGAGGCTGAGGCAGAAAGATCGCTGCGAGTTCGAGGCCAGCCTGGGCCACTTCCTGAGTTTAGGACCAGCCTGCACTGTAAATTGAGACCCTGTCTCAAAAAACAAACAAACAAATAAATATTCCTGTTGATGGCTGTTTCAATTCCCTTCCTGTTCTCTGTGCGTCTGCAGCAGCATCAGCTTGCCCTGGACAGAGGCTGGAGTGTCACGCCCCGAGCTTGCAGCGCTGAGTGCTTCCTGCCCCTGCACTACGCTAGGTTCAACCTCCGCTGCTTTGCTTCCACTTCCTGATGCCCATCTCAGTGCCTGTTAGGGGCCAGAACAGTTTCCGGTTACCTCTGATTTAGGACCTGGGTTTCTCTTCCCCTCCCCAGCCTCACTTCCCCCTTACCTTTGTCCCCCCCCCCCACTCCCCTTTCCTCTTCTTTTTCTTCTTCCTTTTTTTTTTTTTTTTTTTGAGCACAAAAAACTCGAACTCACTTTGTAGCCCAGGCTAGCCTTGAACTCACGGTGTTGTCCTGCCTCAGCCTCCTGAGGCCAGGATTTGCAGTCATGAACCACCACACTTGGCCTATATTATTAAACTAATGGCTATGTGTATTAATAATGCCTCAATAAATGTGACAGTAAAAAAAGTGACTAATACTTGCTGAGTACTGTTTTCCTGGTACTAGGGATTGAATCCAGAGTCTTGCAACTGAACTGCATCCCCAGCCCCTCCCGTTTATTTTGAGACAGGATATTTCAAAATCCCTAAATCTCCCAGGCTGCACCCAATTTGGGATCCTCCTGTCTCAGCCTCCCAGAGTAGGATTATAGGCAGACACCACCACAGTTGGCTTGCGAGTACTTTGTTGATAGCACTGTATAAATACCATTATTAATTTGATCAAAAATTTCTATGAAATGAGAAATATGGTTTCATTTTTACCAATGAGGAAGCTGAGTTCTAGAGAATGTAAACCAAGTGCCCAATAGCAAACATTTAGTAAGATGAAGAATTCTAACTTGCATTTGAAATAGAGCTTTGTTGATGTAAATCTTGACATAACAACATAAATGACAGAACTAAATGCAACACATATACCTCAGTTGGATCCTTGTTGATGGGGAAAAAAATCAAAGCAGTGAGCCAGGCTAGGCAGCATCTATGCATCTGTATTTGTATTTCCAGCTTCGGGGAGGCTGAGGCAGGATTGTCTGAACCCGAAGTTCAAGCCTGGCCTTGCAACATTAGTGAGACCCTGTCCCTTAAAAAGGGGAAGGGTAGAAACAGGTACCCACAGAGCACTTGTTGCATAATATTAACAACAAACATTTCAACATTTCTGAAGACTTGATGATCTTTGGAACAGGATGTGGTCCACAAAGGGCTCTTGAAAAATCATAGGGCTGTAAGGTCATGGGGAGCCTTACATGATCTTTTGCTTTACTGACATCGAGTATATCGAGGTTATTTCACTAACCTCATTCACAAGGTCACACTATGTTCTGTGTTAATAAAAAAGAAACATGTCATTGTTTGTGCCTGGATGTCTCCCCAAAGCCTCATGCAGTCATGGGGATGAGCTTCTAAGGTCTGTGACTGATTCATGGTTCAATGCTAGGATTAAGGGTGTGAGGGCTACAGCTGCTCTGGGGCCAACAGACTGCATACACATAAGGGAGGAAAAGCGGCTGGCTCTCTTCTCTCCTCCCCTTTTGCTCTTACTGCTTTTGCTATCTTCTGCCATGTGCCGTCCTGCCTTGGAGCCAGCCTAGGAAAGACTGAAACCTCCACAAATTATGAGCTAAATAAATCTTTCCTAGCTTCGTTTTGAGTGTTAGGTCATCCCAGCAAAAAGGGAGAAGTATATAAGACAAAGCATTATAATAAAAGCTGGAGGTGGCCAGACACGGTGTACACCTGTAATCTCAACACCTGGGAGGCTGAGGCAAGAGGATCACTACGAGTTCAAGACCAGCCAGGGCTACACAGCAAATTCGCGGCCAGCTTGCACTACATAACAAGTCCTGGGTTCAAAAAATTTTTTTCGAAAAAGTAAAAGGACGAAAGTGTATATAATATGCTCCACCTGGTATCAGCGTCCTCTTCTGGGACTGGTAGCAACATAAATCTTCACTTTCCTTGTATGACTGCACAACCATTATATATTACCAGAAAAAAATCACTTAACTTTTAAAAATTCCACTTAAAAAGGAATGAAAGTCCTAAAAATACTGAACTGCTGTTCCCTGACTGAAACTGGAATCTGTGTGCTCGCGCTCCCTCTGCTGGTGGAGCAGGCCATTACCGCAGCTTCTCCTGAGCACAAGGCCGTTGGGGCCAACCAAGGCTAGCGAGGTGGGACGGAAGTTTGTGTTTTGAGCAAAAGCAAGTGGCAGCCGCCATAGTTCAGTCCCGAGGGCTAGGGCAGCGCCCCACCCCGCAGTCTCCACAGGTTGAGCCGGGTACGGGGACAGGTGTAGGGGGATGGAGTGGCCCACGGCTCTTTCAGAGCGGACACTCCCCTTCCTTTGCCTCAGCCAATCGGCGGACCTTGGGGCGGGGCCCGGTGGGTGGGGGGCTGGGCGGGGCCTGGCGGCAGGCGGAGCATGCAGGTGACGGGGTCGCGCTGCCGGGGTCGCGCGTGCGGCGCGTCGGGAGATGGCGGCGCGGGCCCGGATGGAGGACGCCAGTGCCGAGGTGACGGGGCGGGCCGGCAGCGTGGGGCCTGCGCTCGCCGGGGAGCCCGGGTGGCCTGGAGGTGGCGCGCAGTCTGAGCGTCCTGCGGCGCGGACGCGGCCTTGCTCCTCCGCCCCGCGCTGGGCGCGGCTCCCAGGCCTGTCCCTGTCGCTGCCGGAAACGCAGCTCTGAGAGTCGTCACGTGCTGCTGGGAACCTCGGCCCGGCTGGGGGCGGGGTGGGGACTGAACACCTGGGGCCCTGGAGTGGGCTGCTGAAAAGCCATCGCCCAGGGGATACGGTGTGGAGTGATGGAGCAATGGCAGCATCGCGCGTCCGTGAATTTCTGAAGGTTGCGTCCCGGGAATTAAGTATTTGTGCCCAGAATTAACTGGGTTATACACTGGCACATAATAAAATTCTTGGTCCCTAGAAATGAGAACTTGACAGTTAACATAAAGTGCTGTTTTGGGTTAATAAAGAAACAGATTTATGATCCTGAAAAAGCCAGCGCAACAAACAGCTCCGGTGTTTGTTTTTTTGATACCTGGAATCAAACTCAGAACCTCACGCTTGCCAGGCAGGGATTGTGCTTTTCCTTTAGGAATACAATGGTGGAACTTTCTGGGATCAGGCAGTGTGAAAGTAGTGCATCCCCAGCAGGACCAGCGCGTTACTGTAGGTCTGAGGGAGGCATCTGCTTGGGGTGTGCATAGGGTTTCTAGCACTTGCTAGGAAGCTGAAAATGCTGGTCTTGTGTGGCTCAGAGCCACACCCTTGCGCAAGGGCGGTTGTTTGCAGTGAGCTCAGGTCTGATCAGAGACGAACAGGACTGTGGAGTAACTCTGCCCAGCAGGATGTTGTCCTCCACTCCCTAGACCCCGTGAATGCTCCCCAAGAAGGAGAGGTACCTTAAGACAGCGCCCACCAGACAGGGGTCCCTGAAGGACATGTGGGCTGTCACAGGAGAGGGCAGAGGCTGCGGGCAGAACTGGCAGCTTCCGCTGCAGTAGGAGTTAAGGATGGTGGAAATGAGGGACCTGGTTGTGCCCCAGCCGTGGAGTATCTGGTAGCTTCAGGCTGTCTGCCCCATCCCCAGCACTAGGGCAAACAAGGGAAAAACCTGGCTTGGAAAAAGTAAATAATACTTCTCTTGAGTCATTTGAAACTGATTCAGAAGTGCGCAGGCTAGAATATAGCATAGCAAGCGAGAATATAGACTAGCACGACTATTGAATAGGATAAATAGAATAGAGTAGAACAGGAGAATAGCAAGCACACCTGTAAACCCAGCACGTGGGAGGCTGAGGCAGGAGGATTATGAGTTCAAGGCCAACTTTAACTACATAGAGATCCTGTCTCAAAAATCATTTTCAACTGTATAATTAAAGTCAAATCAAGCCATACTTGGGTTTTGAGAGCAGAAGTGGTTTGCTTATGTCTCAATATCACCTTGCTTGTGAATTATAGAAATAATGAGATTAGGATTTCCTCTGTTTTAATACTCATTTCTGCAAAGTTATATACAGAAGTTATCTAGAGGAGAGTATTATTTTTCAAACTAGCTTTACTCGAAGTTATGTTCCGTTGCTGCTTATCATGGTTAGTTTTTTCTCGTTGCTGGAACGAAATATCTGACACCCAAAGTTAAGGAAGGAAAAGTTTATTTAGCTTACTGTTTGTGGAGGCTTCAGTTCATAATCAGCTGGCTCCAAGGCAGGGTGGCATGGCACAGGGTAACACTTCAAGGCAGCAAAAGACAGCAAAAGCAGTCAGAGCAAGGAAGGTGTGGCGGAAGAGGATGCTGCTTTTTCTCCTGACTCTGCTGGGTCTCTTTTCACTATTTAGAAAGCTTCAGGCTCGCTATGTAGTTCCATCTGGTTTTGAACTCACTGTATAGTACAGGCTGGCATTGAACTTGCAGTAGTCTTTGTGCCTCAGCCTCCCAAGTGCTGGCACTACAAGTGTGCGCCACTGTAGCTGGCTAAAAAGCTTTAGAGGTTTCTTAGAAATATCTGCTGGAAAGTATGACTGTAACCTCAGGGGTTTTGTTTTCTTTGGTGGTGTTGGTAGGGGTTCTTCCTTTGTAATTCAGGCTGGCCTTGAACCCCAGGGATCCTCCTGCCTCAGCCTCCTGAGTGCTGGAATGACAGCCCACATCATGATAGCCAACTGACTTGGGTGTTTCGCCCTCAGGGTTCCCTGGACCTGGTGCAGAGTATCGAAGAGGACCCACTGCTGGATACCCGGCTGCCCCCGCACCACTCCCTGCAGGCTCACTTTAGCCCCAGCTTCCAGCCCCTGCCCACGGCGCTCATGGCTGTTCTGCTCCTGCTCATCCATGTGAGTGTGGTGGCTGCCAGGGCATGTGTCACTGGCTGCAGCCCCGGCCCTTTCTGGTTTCTGTGGAGAAGCACGTAGTTGTTGCCTATGCTGACCTCAAACTTCCATCACCTGCCTCAGCCTCCCATGAGGGACGGTGGGGGCACCATGCCTGCTTCCCCCTCTCCCTAAGGCATGGGAGTGAGGGTGGTAGTGGTGGTGGATGGAGCCCAGGGCCTCACACCTGCCAGACACAGTCTGTGCCGCTGAGCCACCCGTGCCAGATGATGTTTTTGGAAATGTGGAACCATGGCTGGGCGTGGTGATGCACCTGGAAATGCCAGCACTTGGGAATCTGAGGCAGGAGTATTTCTGAGTTCAAGGCCAGCCCAAACTGCATAGACACTACCTTAAATAAAGAGAGTACTTTCTTAGGTGTCAGTGACGGTGGTTTCTTTCCGGCACACGCTGTACTGAGCAGGCCGCTCCCTCTCTCCCAGGTGCTGTTTGTGGTCTTGGCGTTTTTAACAGGTATGCTTTGCTCATACCCCGACCCAAAGGAAGACAGGTGCCCAGGGAACTACACCAGCCCACTGAAGGCGCAGAGCGTCATTGTCTTGGGCAAGGTGGCGCTGTGGCTCCTGCACCTGCTGCTCGAGCGCTACCTCCAGCATCATCATGACAGGGTGCGGGGCCGCGGCTACAGCCACATCGACCGTGCCACAAGGCCGCTGAAGTCGCTGGCCCTGCTCACGCACTCTGCAGGTGAGTGGGGTGCTGCCCGGTGACAGCAGGGATGCAAGAAGTGCTTGGGTGTTGCCTGGAAACAGGGTCTTGTGAGTAGTCCACACTGTCCTCTAAATAGCTCTGTAGCCCAGGTTGGCCTTGAACTCCAGATCCTCCTGCCTCAGCCTCCCAAGTGCTGGGATGAAAAGTGTGCCACTATACCTAGCCAAAGTTTTGACATTTTTTTTATTGTTTTGGGTTTTTTTTTTTTTTTTTGAGATAGGGTCTTGTTATGTAATTCATGCTGGCCTTGAACGCTTATGGGTCCTGTTGCCTCAGCCTCCCAAGTCCTGGGATTATAAGCGCGCACCACCATGCCCCACAAATTTGATTCTGTAATCAAAATGTACTCCCTCATTTTAGGGAGAAGGGTGTGTGTTTGTGGCTACTAAAATTTGGATTACTTGAAAATCTTGAAGCTTTTCTTACAATATGTGATATATAAAGGCCTACTAATCATAGGCTTTAATTTTTCACTTGAAATCTGTGTCTATTCTGAATTCTCTGTGTGTCCCTATGGGAAGTGGAGGCCACCTCACCTTGTGGTCTTTTTGTTTTGAGACAGGGTCTCACTATGCAGGTCAGGCTGGCCTTGAACTCACTTATGTTGCCCAGGCTGGGCTTGAATTCATGGCGCTTCTCCTGCCCCAGCCTCTTGAGTGCTGAGAGTACAGGTCTGCACCACCATGCCTGGCGTGTTTTGCTTTTTTGCTAAGTATACTCTCTTACCGACCTGCACCACAACCCCCTCCCTTTTGCTGGTAACAGGTTTACTGATCTGAAGGAAACTGAAGTGCTGTTGATGTTTGGCACTTTGAGCCTGGTGTTGTGGTGCACACCCGTGATCTCAGCATTCTGAGAGGCTGAGGCAGGAGGGCCCCAAGTTCCAGGCCAGCCTAAGCAGCTTAATGAGACTTTGTCTCAGAATTTAAAAAGGCCCAGGGAATGCTGCTCACCACAAATAGCCTGCAAGACAAAAAAGGGGTGGGGGGGTGTTGGTTTTAGGGGCTTTGTTTGTTTGGTTTGGGTTTTTTGGCTTGGTTCCCGCGGTGTGCGCAGATGTGTAGTGCTCCACTGTGGCCAGCAGGTGTCACTGGAAGCCAGGGTGAAAGTGGAAACTGGTGCTGACAGAGCCTGTCTGACTGGGGACCAAAGAAACGTTCAGTTTCTCAGCTGATGGTCTGGAAGTCGTTCTGTTTTCTTTTTAGAAATTGTTTTGGTTTTTGTGGTCCTGGAGATGGAACTCGTGGAGCACTGAGTTATTCTTGATTTTTTTGTTTGTTTTTTCAGAGCAGAATGTGTTTATTGAGGAAAGACAGCTTCTGTCTGCTGGAGATTTGGCTCAGCAGCATAAGTGCCTGCCTGGCGAGTACAAGGTTATGAGTTTAATCCCTAGAACAACAACAAAAAAAAGCTTCTATCTGAGAGAGACAGAAGGGCTTCCTAGTGGGTTGCCAAGTTAGCCTTTTTATTTTTATTTTGAGGCAAGGTCTTGTGCTAGGTTGCCCAGACTGGTCTTGAACTTGGAATTCTCCTGCCTCAGTCTTTCAAGAAGCCGGGACTGTAGAAAGATATGCACCTTGCTTGGCTAGAAAGAATTTCTGAGGCCCATAAAGAGATTGTCTCAGGCCAGGCCTGGTGTTGCACGCCTGTCACCCTAGCACTCGGAAGGTTGAGAGTGAGTTTGAGGCCAACCTGAACTGCATAGTGAAACCCTGTCTCAAAAAGAGCCCCCCCACACAAAGAGGTGGTCTGATATTTCACTGTGGGGGGTTTTGTCTTTGTGTTTTTGAGACAGGGCCTTACTGTGTGGTTTAGGCTCGTCTTAAACTCACACGACCCTTCTCCCTCAGCCTCTTGAGTGCTGGGATGTCAGGTGTGGGCCCCCGGACTTGGCCATTGTTTGAGATTTACCTGCCCAAAGTCTGCATTTTCAGATGCTTGTTGATTGCATGACTTTTAATGACCTGCTTTTTAACAGTTGAACTTTTAATCACAGATGGTATCACGTTTATGTTGCTGAAGGAAGCATTCAGAAAATCAAAGGGACTTGGGGCAGCTATTTAGCTGGTTTCTATTTTCTGTCTTTCTTTCTTTCTTTCTTTTTTTTTTTTTTTTTTTGTCTTATTAGGGGGAAAAAAAAGCATGGTGGCACATGCCTGTGATACTAACACTCCTGAAGGCTGAGGCAGGAGGATGACAAGTTCTGGCCCCACGTAGGCAGTTTAGTGACTCAGTGAGACTCGGTCTCAAAATTTAAAAAAAGAATTTTTTTAAGTAGAAAGGGTGCACCTGTACTCCTAGCACCTGGTAGACTGAGGCAGGAGTATCCCTGTGAGTTGCAGACCAGCCTGGGCTACAGAGACTCTGTTTCAAAAAAAAAAAAAAAAAAAAAAGCAAAGAGCGCTGCAGCTATGCGAGTAAAGGACCTGGGCTCCCCCCTGTACCAGTAAGCCAAAGGAGGAGAACGCCCAAGGGCAGCTCAAATGGGGCCCCGGGGGCTGTCTTCCCCCTCCCCCAGTGTGCTCAGTGCTTGAAGGTGGGGCCCAGGGAGTCGCTCTATGTGTACACATGCTGAGCTGGGGGGCCTTCGTGCAGCACCTGTGTCCCCATCCCCGCCCCCAGCTCCAATCACAGGTGATAAATCCATGGTGACGCGGGCCTCCCGGCCTCCCTGCTCTTTCCCGTGTGGCATAGGTGTGGTTTTCCCTTTTTGGTGGTAGAGAGGTCCAGGGTCCTGGGCGAGATTCTGGGTCTCACTGTGAGAGGTGACAGACTACTTTGGGGGACCCTGGGGGATCTTGGGCTCCTTGTTGTTGCACTGCCTGCTTAGTGGGCAGTGAGTATTCTGTGAGCTTCAAGGGTCTTTTAAAATGACTAATAGAAGGAGATGAGCTGTGTCTGCATTTATGAAACTAAACTGACACCCAGCACGGTGGCACACACCTATAATCCCAGCACTCAGGAGGCTGAGGCAGGAGGATGCCAAGTTTCAGAGCAGCCTGGGCTACAAAGTATGTTCAAGTCCATCCCGGACTGAACAACACAGTAGCAAGACCCTGTTTTAAAAAACCAAAAACATAAAAATAAAGTTGTTTCATATCGGTGCAGATTCCCCCCCATAGTGCTTTTCCCCCAAATGTGTGGTGAAACTTTGTATTGCTTATGAAATGCATTTGAGAATAGTCTTTCAGTGACGCTAATATGCTATGCCAGCACTGGTGAGACTGGCCTCTGCAGGGTGAGGCTTTTGTGGATTTCTTTTTTTCTGGACCAGGTATTAAACCCAGTGGTCCTCTACCACTGAACTACATCACTAACCCTTTGTTTTTTGACTCTAAGGTGAGATCTTCCTGCCTCTGCCTCCCTGAATGTGGGACTGCAGAAATGTACCACCACGTCATGTGGAGCTAGGTGACATTTTGATAGCCTGTGTAAACAGGACTTCTTGGCTTACGTCATTCTTTCTCCATCAGGAAAGATAAGAAAAGCTGGCCCCCGAGGTGCAGCCTGTGGTCTCAGTACCCGGGGAGGTTGAAGCAGGAGGGTGGAAAAGTGGAGCTCCACCTGGACAGTTTAGCAATTTACTGAGACCTTGAGTATATAGCTCAGTGCTAAGGCCTCAGGTCCAATCCCCAGGATCCTTCTATCAGAAAAAAAAGACCGGAGGAGACTAAGCATTGTTTCCCCCTAGGTCAGATTTAGATAAATAGTATGTTAGTGAGTTTCAGGGAATTCTGTGATAAGATGCTGTAGGTATCACTTCTGCCTCTCAACCTTTCCTGACATTCTTTGGAGTAAAAGGGCAAAACAACAGAAGCTCAAATAGTCCTCAAAAGTAACCCCAGGACTCCAGAGGCTAAGGCAGGAGGATCACTAAGTTTGAGCCAGCTAGGGGTTCCTAGAGAGACCCTGTCTCAAAACACCAAATGCATGCATGCATGCATACTGCAACTACAGACAAAGCAAAGGGCTGGCAGGCAGGCTGGGTGGGGCTCAGGGAGGTGAGTGTGTGCCCACCGGCCAGCCCAGTGCCACCCTAGGCAGTGCAGCCACCCAGCACTGTTTGGAAAGGAATGCGTCCCCATGGGAGTCGGAGTGCTCTGAGGTGTGGTCCTGGTGGCTGCAGGGCTAGTGACCAGATGTGATTCTAGGGCCTTGCTGGGATCCCCCTGCTGAAGGTGCTGAAGGTGCTGTAGAAGCTGCAGCGCAGACTTCTAAAAGCTGTACCAATTTCCTCAGGAAGATGCGATCTGATCCAAAATGAGTCTTTCATTGATTTACTTTGTGTGTGTGGTTCTGGAAATTGGACCCAGGACCTTCACACTGAGCTAAATCACTTGCCCTTTATAAAAGTATTAATTTTGAAACAGTATTTTGCTAAGTCACTAAGTTGCCTACCTGGCCTTGAACTTGTGATCGTTCTGCTTCAGCCTCGCAGAAGGCTAGGATTACAGACAGGCACCATCAGGCCCAGCTGGAAGTCACTGCTACACTTGTATGAAGCCAGTTGGGTGTAGTGTTGCACACCTGTAATCCCAGCACCTGGGAGGCTGAGGCAGGATGATTGCCTGGAGACCAACTTGGGCTATAAAGTAAGACCTTGTCTCAAAAACTAAAGAACGGAGTCTGAGCTTTTCGCCAGCTGGCGGGAGATCACCATGTCTTTGGCCAGAGATTTACCACACCCTTCCTTGGAAGAGGAAAAGAAGAAACATAAAAAGAAAAGGCTAGTTCAAAGTCCAAATTCTTATTTTATGGATGTAAAATGTCCAGGTTGCTACAAGATTACCATGGTTTTCAGGCATGCACAGAGAGTTGTTCTTTGTGCCAGCCTACAGGCGGAAAGGCTAGACTCACAGAAGGTTGCTCATTTAGAAGAAAGCAACACCAACGATCTAAACAACTTCCTGAATTTGTTTTTTCACAGAAATCCGTAGCATAAGCTCAGTAATTGTAATGAACCTACCAAGATATGTAATTAAGTTTGATTTTGTAAGGCACACAGCATTGATATCCTATTTTGATGGCAGTTTTTCAATAAAGTTTTCATTATGGAGAAAAAAAACTAAAGAATGTAAATCTGTGATCTCTGGCCACTCAAATGTCTGGGCCCTTCTGGCCTCCCTCTTGGGCTGCACGCTGAGTCACTGACAAGGGTGAACTCGGGTTAGAACAAAGACAGCGGGCTGCCACCTAGGGACCCCAAGGCTTTATTTCTGTCACTGCCACACCTGCCACCACGAGCGTTTCCAGGGCTGGGGCCAGAGCACAGTGCACACTTCTCAGGCAGGATGCTCTGTCCCGCAGGCAACGCGGCGCTGCTGCTGGTGCTGGGTGCACAGCACTCATTCCCTGGGCCTGGCACACTGTACCTCGCCCTCATCCTGGCGGTGCTGACCCTGGAGCTGCTCTGCTCGATGACCTGGCTGCTCCTGTATGCAGGTGAGGAGCCTTGGCTCTCGGGAGCGGGGCCCGCTGTGTTATGAGTGTCCTTGTCTGGGCTGAGTTGCCCAGTCCTCCCTAGACACCTGCACCTGGCCACTTTGCCAACTCTGTGCCACCTCACCTACTTTTGCTTCTCCAAAGGCAATCAGAATAGAAGTCTGACATTTAAAAGCAAAATAGCTGGGTGCAATGGTACACACCTTTATCTAGGGAGGCTGAGACAGGAGAATCACAATGCATTGGAGACCAGCCTGGACTACACAGTGAGACTCTCAAAAAATCTAAAAGGAAAACTAAAGTAATGTGGAGAGTGAGGTCTTTGAAGTTCTGATCCTGGCAGCAACAGCTTCCTGTGATGGTCTGTGTAAACCAGGTGGGGAAGAGAACCCACAGTGGGCGGCAGTGAGGGGCACTTTCTAGGTCCTGTGCTAGGGGACATGCTCACCACGGATGACCCGCTTCTAGGCCTCAGAAATGTCTAAACTGATAACCAGTCCCACAGGTTAACTTGTAGGAAAGGAACACACAGTGCCATTGGAATGAATGAAAATGGGAATTGCTTTCTAAAATTAGATAATCTGAGGACTAATACTGACTTTTACTATTTTAGTGAAAATTAGGAAATTTAACAGAGCCAAACCACAGCCTGATGTACTTGAAGAGGAAAAGATCTGTTCTCTCCCCAACGGTGTCCCCTCGGAGACTGGATTCAGGTAGGTGCGGCGGAGGAGTAGGGCCAGCCAGGGGAATGGGAAGGGTTCCTCCTGCAGCTTGCTGGCTGCCCCCGCACCCCGCAGCTCCTGAGGTGCTTTGCTTACTTGTTTACGGCTGTGAGGAGACCAGGTCCCACACAGGTGAGGCCCTGCCATGCGCGATGTGGATGTGCGAGGAATCACATTCAGCCCTGGCCTGCCTGCGGCTGCTGGCTCCTCCTGGAACTGACAGATCAGGCCTGCCCCCGCTGCTGCTTGTACTGAGCTCTCCCACGGTGACTGATGGCTGAAGTGTCATCCTTGTCACTGCAGAGCTTAGATCTAACACCGTTATTCAACACGCCACACAGCTCACACATGGGTGCCATGCCGGAGGCTGAGGCAGGAGGATCACAAGTTGGAGGCCAGCCTGGGCAATTGTGTGAAAAATACAAAGGGCTAAAGATACAGCTCAGTGGTAGCCATCCCTGCCCACAACACCAGAGGGAAAAATGAAATTACTATAAACTAAAAGGAAATGAGGTGAGGAGGCAGTTACTAATCTCAGGAAAGAGAAGGCTGTATTTGAAGTATAGTAACAGACCTTTACATTTGTTTTAGTTGGTTGATTTTGAGACAAAGTCTCACTGTACAGTCCAGACTGGCTTTGAACTCGAGATCCTCCTGCCTCTGCTCCTCGGTGCTGTAATTATGGATATGCCAGACAGAATGCCTTACTGTGTGTGATGGAGGGTGGCAATGTAGACTGTGAACATCTACTTAACCCAAAATCCTGATGGTGTTTACTGGATGTAGAGGAAGCCAGGAGGGGACCTGAGTGCGTGTGTGTAAGGGACCAGGGAAAGCAGGAGAGTGGGTCCTCATCTTGCATGAGAAGTCTGCCGATGCTCCTGAAACTGGGAAGTCAAGAAACGGTAGAATCACATTCTTGAGGAAGGGAAGCTGGGCCAGGTGAGCTAGCACATGTCTGTAATGCCAGCACTTTGGAGGCCGAGGCAGGAGAATCACTGTGAGTTCGTGGCCAGCCTGGGCTCATAGTGGGTTCAAGGCCAGCTTAAACTACATAGTGAGACACTGTCTCAAAAAAAACCCACACAGCAGATTGCCTGCTGCTCCCCGTCCCCTCCCTGTACCCTTTCCCCTCCACCAGCCCCGCTGTGGTGCAGCTCCTTGGCTGCCGGGTCAGTGCTGGAGTCTGCTTGGCGGTGGAGCTCTCCCAGTGCCCTCCCCACAACACCAAAGGGAAAAGCCTAGCTAGTCTGAGTTCCAGTACCAAAAGAATCCAAAACCAAAAACAAGAAAAAAGGCCTAAAACTTGTCACAAAACAGCATTTTTGGTGAGTTAACTTTGCCCAGCAGAATGGGGTGTAAGAGGCCCGCTTGTGCTTTGCCCATATTAAATGCAAATACTTGCTGCATTAACATCCAAGAACAGGGAGGCCAGGTGCCCTGCTTGCATGGTCACACAGCCTGTGGTTAGCAGAGTCAGGTGGGACGCACACACTGATTTCCACAGCTTCTGTTGTAGCCTCTTTCTTTGCTTTTTTCTGTATTTTTGGCTGGTTTTTTGTTTGCATTTCAATAATTTTATTGAAACGTATCTTTCCTAGTACCAAACATAATGATTCTTGGTTAGGTTACCTCTGCTAACTCAAAATTAATACTGATGTTTTCAAAATACTGAAATATATCAGCCTTTTGGTAAAACTGAAGTTATCTACAAAGCATGGTTTACAAAAAGCTAAAGGTAAAATATACTGTGGTTCTTTGGCTTATTTTTCAGTGCTTGTTTATCTGTAACATGGTGTCAAAATTGGTTGCACATTATCTGGATAGACTCGGGCTTCAGGCCTCACTGCGCTGCTGTTCACACGGCCAACAGTACACACACGTCTCCTTATAGTCATCGGCTCACCAGGAAAAACCCACGCAGCTTCAGCGATCTCATAATTATGGAGGTGTCTCCTTACTTTTCTTAAGACACAGTATAGAAAGTTGTGAAAGCATATTTTATTTTTTAAAAAAGCTAGAAGCAATGGCAGTTTTATAGAAACAGTCCATAGTAAAACCTGAAGTGCTTGATCTAGCCAGAACTTAGGGTAAAGCAAATTTTCAGAGTGATAGTTGATTTTGAGGTACTTTGAAATAATAAAACATACATTTTAATGGAACTAAACTGAGGAAGTAAGATTCTATATAGAAATTTTATCATTAACATAAACAGAACCTGTTTTTTTAGAAGAAATACTAAAGATAGCTCAGTGAATATATTAGACTTACTAGGTTGGTATTTGATAAGTTGGGGTTTTTGTTCTCTATATAAATAGCATTATTGCAGCAACAAAAAATGTTTCTTTGAAGCCTTTCTCAGAATCCTGAACTATAGATTCTATAATGTTATAATGGATTTAAGTTATGAAGCTTCAAAACATCACAATTAGATTAGTGTAATGTTATCCATCCCAGGAAAACACCAATAGAGTGCTGTTGTAGGAGTATTTAGGTTTGAATTCATTTGTAAAGCTAAAGGTAGAAATGTGAAACACTTAATATAAGCCTGAACAGGCGAATGGTGAATTTTCATTTCTAACATTAACCTAATTTTCTATATTAGATCAATACATTATATTTAGGTGATAATGAAAATGGTAACCTACTGCATTTAAATGTTAAATTTTAAATTATGAGGTTTACATAAAAGCCAACATTTCACACATGCACTTTTTTAAGGCATTAAAACGTTTATAGTCTATGTAAGGCTTTCTTGGCATCTACATGCATGTACTCAGAGATGAGAATGTTACTGCTATATGGGAATTGTGTTTACATTTAAAGATATTTTTTGGCCTTTGAGAGGGTCTCACTGTCTCAAGCCGGCCTTGAGCTCACTACGTCGCCTTCCCCAGTTTGCGGCGCAGGTGACACTCGTGTGCCAAGCGCAGGTCTGCCCTTCCACTGGGGCACCTGCCCTTCCACTGGGGCGCAGTGCGACCCGGCCGCCCTTCCTGGCTTTTGCAGGACCTCCTCGCACCTAGAAGCAGTGGTGGAGAAGCAGGCGGACGTCATCGCGCACCTGCGGCGGCACAATGCACTCCTGAGCCGGCGGCTGCTGGCACTCGCGGCCTCGGAGCCGGGCTCGCAGCATGGCCGGACCTAGAAGCCACAGACGAGGCACCCAGGGCCAGGAGAGCCTGGGCCAGCCAGCCCGCTGCTGGTCACACGCCACGGAACTGGGAGGAGGCGGGGCCTTGGAAAGGGCGCTGTTCTGTGCTCCGGACTTTAAGCCCTGCTCTTCGAACTCTTCTTCGCGGACTCACTGCCATGTGGCCTCGCTTTAGCAGAGCGCGCTAGGTGCTGGGAGGAGCGGCCGGGTAACTGAGCAAGCGGTCATAAGGTTGGAGATTGGGCCCAGGGCCTGGCGCACATGTGCTCCGCCACTGCGCTGTGCCCTTAGGCTAAACAGTGTTGAAAGCGGTAATCTCTGCTTTAAACTAGAGAAACCTGCACTTCTGCAGCATCCCCGCCCCCTGTAGCCACTGCCACGAGTGCTTGCAGCACTGTGTGACCCTGAGGCCCAGCAGCGGTTTTACCCTCCCATGCTGCTAGGCACCAACCTGGTAGCACCCACGCCGGACAAGTGCCCCACATCACTGTCACCCAATCTCCTGTCTGTGGACCATGAAGCCCGGCATGAGGGCGCGTTGGAAAACACAGCACTCAGGAGGCTGAGGCAGGAGGATCGCGAGTCTGAGGCTGCCTGGATAGCGTTGTGAGACCCCGTCTCAAAAACAGAAACCGAACTGTAGGACCAACGTCTCAGTGATTTACTATTCAAATTCTACAGTCTCTTCAGAAATCTGGTGTGGGGGTTACCTGGTGGTATGGCCGGGACAGGCTTTTCCACTATGGCAGATTTTCTGCTATCAGAAGCTGGAAGATACAGAAATTTCCTGTCACCTTTGCCCTTCTTGAGGAGGTTGCCATAAATTTCTATACTGGACTAGTTCCTTGGCTCAAGAAATTCAGTTCCAGGAGTGGAAAAGTCTGTGGTCCAAAGTCTTGGAAAGACTTTTTAGTCTTGGATTGTACTTAAAATTTTGATGGGAATAAGTGTCACTGATTTACCTACAGATATTAAACATACCTATTTCCTGAGCATGCAGTGCCCAGTCTTTATGAATAAGAGTGTCACTTCGTGGCCCTGTGCTCCCTGCCCCCCTTGGCTGGTGCCTTGGGCTCTTGGTTGCAGGCTCTGAGGGGAGAGCCATTTAACACTGCAAGCTGGGGCCCGCTGTTAGCTGGTGACATAGATTCGATTGGAAGAGCTGGACATGACTACTTTGGAATGTGTCAGCTGAGATTAGATGAGGAAGGGCTTTTTTGTTTGTTTTGCTTGGTATGGTGGTACTCCTGGGGTTATAGAACACAGCCACATCCCCAGCCCTTCTTCATTTTGAGGTAGGATCTTGCTAAGTTGCCCAGACTGAATCAAACTTGCTGTCATCCTGCCTCCCAAAGGCTGGGATTACAGCTGTGTGCCACTACTCTCATTGGCAAGGGATTTTTTTGTTTGTGGGTTGGCTTTTTGAAATTGGGTCTTGCAGTATAGTCATGGTGAAACTGAAATTTGTGATTCTCTTGTCTCAGCCTCCTGAGTGCTGGCATTAGAGGTTACGCAGCTGTAGCTGGGATATGTTCATTTGCTTGCACCCACTATTGCTTATGGACGGGAAAACATCTGTTGTATACGTATGCCTCTCCCCTGGGCGGGGGGCATTGAAAGTATATATATAAAGAGGACTGTGTATTGCCTTCAGGAAGTCGAGTCTTCAAAACAGTGACACTGCTAAATTCAAGTCATGTCCAAATCCCTGCCCATTTTCCTTCCTTTTAAAAGCTGTTTCAAAGCCATTGCTTTCTCAGGAAATCTGTGTGTATGTTTGGTTTTATGTATTTTTTTTTTTTTTTTTTTTTTTTTTGCAGTTTGGGGGATTGAACCCACAGCTTTGTGCATGGTTAGGCAAGCACCATACCACTGAGCCACACCACAGCCCTTTTTATTTTACTTTAAGACAGGGTCTCACAAAGTTGCCCAAGCTGGCCCTGAATCAGCGATCCTCCTGCTTCAGCCTCCTGAGAGGGCGAGAAGTCCAGCATATGCTAGCATCCACCCTTTACCCTGGAAGGGCTATAAACATGGCCCCTGTGGTTCCTTTCAAAAGGAAAACAGCAGGTGATTGGTGTGTATTTTTTATGTGTGTGTTTACATGTGGCTGGGATCTGTATTCAGTCTCTGAGGCTCATGGGATGAACTTTGGTTTACAGGACAGGGCAGTATCCAAAAGTTGAGGGATTGCTGGGCATGGTACGCACTTCTGTAAGCTCAGCACTCCTGAGGCTGAGGCAAGAAAATCACAGTCAGTTCAAGGTCAGTGTGGACTACAGAGTGAGTTCAAAGCCAGCCTGCACTGCATAGTGAGACCCTTGGTCTCATAGTGGTCTCATAGTGAGACCCTTACATTGCATTTCAACCGGGAGGAAAGAAGGTGCTAGAAAGACTGGCCACAAACTGGGACAGGTGTGCTAAATCTAGTGCATGTGCGGGTGTGTAAATACACAGGCACAGAGCTCCTGTACAAGTGTTCTGGACGGTGGTACCGTGAGCCTCGGGGAAGCGGAAAGCTTGCTACTCTTTAATGAACGGAAATACTGAAGAGCAGTGCCTTGATCCCTTTGAGGAGGAGCTGGGCAGCTCTAGCATGTATATACCCTTGCCAGTCCAGCCACTCAAAGGACACATTATCACCTCATCTCATTCCTCTGAACACTGCCACTCTTCCCAGACCCCCCACCTTTTATAAACCGAGAGCTTCCAGACCTCGAAAGTTCTCCCTCACACACGGGAGCGGGTGGCTTGTTGCAGGCACTTGACCTGAATTCCTCTTTCTCAGCACTGGAGAGAAATCCCCACCTGTGGTCCCCAGGCCTACCGAGGATGCAGCTTTGGGTGACAGCCACCACAGTCCCTTTTTCTCCCAGGAATTTAAGCCCAGATCATTTGAATCAAGCTCTCTTCCTTCCTTTTAATTTTTCCTCGAGTTCCTCCAAAGCCACACAGCCTCAACACTGCTGGCATTTGGGGCAGAAAGTTCTTGGTTTCCTGGTGTGGTGGTACATGACTGTAACCTCAGCCCTTTGGGAGGCTGCGGCAGGAGAATTGCAAGTTTCAGCCCCAAGCAAGCAATTTAGTGATCATCTCAAAATAAAAAGTAACACATACTGGTGACACATACTTGTAATCCCAGCACTAGGGAGGCTGGGGCAGGAGGATCTCTGCAAGTTCAAGGCCGCCCTGGGCTACAAAAGTGTGTTCAAGGCCAGCCTGAACTGCATAGTGAAAATCCTGCCTAAAAAAAAAAAAAAAAAAAAAAAAAAGATGTAGCTTAGTGCAGAGGTCTTGGGTTTAATCCCCAGTCCTGAGAAAACAAAAAAATACTTTTTTGGGGTGTGGGTCTGATCACAGGGGTGCAGGGTAGGTGGCAAGCAGCACACCAGTCCCTACGCACCCTGGCAGCCCCACTTGCGCCAACCAGAAGAAGGGTCCTGGTCCCTGTTAGCCTACAGCAAGTTAAGGCTTCGGTGAGCTTGAGCTGGACTGCGCCGGGGATGCTGCCTGGCCTGGGTGCTGTAACCGAGGCTCGGGCAGCCGTGCCAAGGACTCAGGACGTATTTGTGTGCTTTTCCCACTGGAGAAACCCAGGGCAAATGAGACCCACAACCTGTCCTCCTTCCCTGGCCTTCCTGCATGGAAGGCTTCTTTTTCTTGTACTGGAGGTAAGCTTACACTCAGTTACATGCTCAGCACTTTTCTCTGGTTGTTTAATGTGAGTTACTAGGTGTTTTTTCCAAGACAAGGTCTTACTGTGTAACCCAGGCTGGCCTCAAATTGGCCAGCCATCTTCCTGTATCAGCCTCCCAGCCCAATATAGGAGATATGGCTCTAAAGCTTGGATACAAAACTGTCATTTAGGGGTTTTTCCCCCTTTAAAAATTATTAGTACCTGTTTGCAGAATTATCACATTTATCACAGGATTATCTAGCAATCTGTTTTTAGGTTCTCGGGTTTGAACCCAGAGCTACTGCACTGAACTGTGTCCCCGGGCCTTTAAAAAAATTCTTTGCTTTTGAGACAGGGCCTTGCTAAGTTGCCCAGAACGCTGGGCTCCAACTTGGACTCTTCCTGCCTGGGTTGGCTGTGGCTGTCACTGTGTCCTCTGCTCAGTCCCATAGTGGCTGTGGCCACCATGGCTTCCAGGACGGTGCGCCCAGGTGTCCCCCAGCCTCCTGCATGTGGCTGGTTTCCTTGATGGCTCTGTGCCTGTCCTTGCTGCAACGCCAGCCCTGAGAGCACACAGCCCTGCTACTCCACTGCCCACCTGCCTGCAGGCTCTTGGATGGGTTTTATTTTCCCCTGGTACTGGGGAGTGAACCCCACAGTGCCGAGCTACATCCTCAACCCTTCGTGTGCCTGTTTTGAGGTGGCTCATTAGATTGCCCAGGCTGTTCTTGAATTTTTTATCTTTCTGCCACGGCCTCCCCCAGAATCTGGGATTATAGGCTTGTGCTGCCACCTTGATTAGTATTTTGTGTTTTTTTTTTTTTTTTTTTTTTTTTGCAATACTGTGATTGAACCAAGTCCTTTGCATTGAGCTACATTTTTGTTTTTTGAGACCAAGTGTCTCCCTAAAGCGTTACAGGCTAGCCTTGACCTTCCTGCCTTAGCCTTCCCAGTTCTGAGTACAGGCACTCACTACCACACTCAGCTGTTTTATTTTCCACAACAGGCTCTCAGTAAGTCTAAGTTGTCCATAGCCACGTGTGGTGGCGTACACCTCTAATCCTAGTGTAGGAGGTCAGGAGGCTGAGGCAGGAGGATCACTGAAGTTTGTGGCCAGCATGGAGTACAAAGTGAGTCCAAGGCCAGCCTTAAAGGCTGGGGATTTAGCTCAGTGGCTCAAGTGGTTGCCTGGTAGGGTACAAGGTCGAGTTCAATCCCTAGTACCCCCCAAAAAATAAAAAATAAAATGAACCAAAAAACAACTCCCACTGGTTTGAGCTGTCCAGCCCAGGCTGCTTTTGTGATCCCTGGCTACAGGTTTCCAGGGCCCTGGGTTTCTAGATTTGCACAGGCCTGACTCTGGTGGCTTTTAGTGCTTTTTTATTCCAGTTACCAACTGGCACCCCCAAACACGATCTAGGGACTCACCATTAGCCCATGCCTGCCCTGGAGATCGCTCCATCCTGTTGGCCTAGATGTTGGGGTCCTTCACTGATGCCAAGTCTGGGCCCATGTCCCCTCCTGAATACTCTTGACCCCGGATCCCCAGTGTGGTACTAAATGCTGAACCCAGGACTTGCATATGCAGGAAAATGCTTCACCCTACCTGACCATTACTTCAAAATGCACATGTCCACTGATGTGGCAGATTCCTTTGGGAGGCTGAGGCAGGGCTGGGGTTATATATAGCTCAGTAAGTAATAAACATCCCTGGACTCAATTGTAATCCTCAGTATGGAGGCAGGATGGTTGTAAAGAAAACAGAGACATTTGATAGCCATCATCCTCTGATGTAATCTTGGACACATCAGCGCTACTGAATTAAGGAGCAAGATCAGTACCATTCATACAGTGTGCAAAAAATCCACCAAGGAGCAAGGGCAGTAACCTGGAAGACCTGAAGATACACCTAGGCTTCATAACACATGAGTAAGAACAGGGTTTCGGGTAGGGACACAGCAGAGTGCAGCCTGCACGGTGACAGGGTTAGGTTCAGTCCTGGGCCCCGAAGAGAACAAGCAACGGTCCTTTTACGGTTTATTTTTGAACTGCCATACAAAACACAGAAACTACATATCACTGGGGAACTATGTGGTGTCTTAATACAAGTCCTCATCGCGTGACATTTGTGGGGCACAGCTGTCCCCTCATTTATCCTTTCTGTACAGAGCTCATTGTGAAGGCCTTCAGTTCAATTCCCACGGCAGGAAACAAAAAACAAAACAAAAAAAGACATCCACCTTCTATCCATGCTGGCATTTGCGCTGCATAGCATATACAAGTATTAATACAAAAAAATTAAAAAAAAAAAAAAGCCAAGCATGATGGCCCCAGCAGGCTTGCCAGCCCCTGGGGGAGATGGAGGTAAGGAGTAAAGCCTAGTGAGGCCCCATCTCTGACTAAATGGGAAAGTGTTCCCGTAACAACCCAAGCTGCATTTGTAACTCAGATGACTAAACCCTAAAGTAACACATCAGAGACTGTCAGGGAGGCCCAGATCTGCAGACAAGCATGCTCTCCCTCTCTCAATTGTCAGTGACTATTTCTTGTGGTCCTGAAACCATCAAAATAAAGTATAGAACAGGGCCTGTTGGTATGGATGGTGTAAAGCCCCTGCCTGCTATGGGCCAGGCCCTCGGTTCAAACCACACTGTCACACCCCAAAAATAACAGAAGTGAGACGTAATCCAGAAAAGCTGACCGTCTCCCATACCTGCTGTTGGCAGAGGCTTTCCCAGCATGCAGGAGGCCCGGCTCCTGCTCAAGGCAGCACCTGAGTTGAGTGCCTCCAGCCGGCAGCTTTGAGGAACAAAGACAAAACTATCCGCTGGGGATAGGCTGCCTGCTGAAGCCGCTCACCTTCCAGGTGTGGTGCCCTAAAAGCATCGCCTCAGCGCTCGGGGAGACTGAGTCAGAGGGATCACGAATCCCAGCCCAAAGTGGGCAACTTTAGTGATTTAGTGACACCCTGTATCCAAAAACAAAAAGAAAAGAGAAAAAGGGCACCCTCTACGGTGTGCAGCACTATGGTAGAGGCCACTCGCTGCACTGTGTACAGACAGCTGTGTTGGGGACAGCATCGCCCACCTCTGCTGCAGGAAGCAAGGCTGAGCAGCTGAACAGCACCCTCAGACCCAGCAAGGAGACTGGGCCAGCTGCCCTGGCAGGGAGGCGTACTAGAACTGCTCAGACAGCTGTAGTGACAAAATGAAGCTTTCTTCTTACCAGGAGAGACCTGGAAAATAATCTGCCCGGCCCAGAGCTAGAGCACAGTGTACCAGCCTGAGACCCTGCCACTCACAAACCCTTTTGGCCTGGTGACCCCATGTGCTTTGGGGACTGATGCAGGGTTGCAGGTTTTGGCCCAGCCTGGGCAACCTAGCAAGGTCCTATTTCAAAAACTAAAATCAATCAAAAGGGCTGGGGACCTAGCCCAACGGCCCTGTGTTCTACCCCTCCTACTACAAAGAAAGAAAATGTATTCTTTAAATGTAGTTCAGCATTGCCTGGAGCTACACTTAAGCATATTAAGGGGAAAAAAGAATGACCGCCTGTTGCTCAGCAGCAGGGTACATAGCATTAAACCTGAATTGCTGGGTGCCATCCCCGCCCCTGCCAACAGCCAGCCTGGAGTGTCCTCACTCAAAGTAGGGCTCCCTGAGGACCTTGAGCTGCTTTGCGTCAGGCCCGATGTAGAAGTAAGGGCGCAGTGACTCAGTGAAGGTGTCACTGAAGGTACAGATATGAGCGCCCTCAGGCATGTCATAGATCGACAGCTCGCCCAGCTCATAGTCCAGGAACAAACCCAGGGTCCGGTCCCGCAAGTCCTGTGGCAGCGCGGCTCGTGTGGCTCCAGGGGCCTCGTAGCCCCCATCCTGCAGCTGCAGGCACCAGCAGCCCTGCCCCACCCGCCGGCCCTTGGGGGACATCAAGGCCCTGCACACCCCCACAGCCCACTGCGGCACATCGCCCACCTCCACCTGCCAGAAATGCCGCCCCGAGTAGAAATCTGGGAAGCCCAGCACCACGGGGTTGGCGTTGGCCCGCTTGGCCGTGCGCGGGCTGCTCGGCTTCTTCTTGACGAAGTGCACGCTCTTCCGGTCAGGGGAGATGCACAGGTTGGGGTAGGCCGTCTCGGGGTCCAGGATGATGTCCACACGGAACTCCCTGCGAATCTTCTGCAGCGCAGAGAACTGTGGCGGGAAGTTGCAGGCCTCCTTCGGCAGGTTGATGGAGAAGAGCGGCGGGCTGATCTCGCCTTCAGAGCGCGGGTAGAAGTGCTTGATCTGCGACAGCAGCTCTATCTCCGACAGCGCGCTGTGCCCCTCCACCCGGGCCAGCAGGTCCTGCAGGGTCGCCTTGTAGCCCGTGAAGGCCTTGATGTTGTCGCTGAGCTTCTGGCGGATCTGCTGCTCCTCCTCGGCCAGCCGCTGGAAGGCAGCCTGCTGCTCACGCTCCAGGAAGCGGTTCAGCAGCTCCACCTCGCAGGCCAGACGCTGCCTGCGGGTCTGCGCCTTCTCCCGCAGCTCCAGCGGCGCACGGCTCTGGGCACTTATCAGCTGCTGCGTGTCGAGCGCCTGCCTGCGCAGCAGCTTGGCGTAGTTGTGCAGTCGCACTCGGTGCCGCGCCGCAGCCTCTCCCAGGGGGCTCGTGCGGTGCCCGCTGTGGTCAGGGGGCTGCATACACTCGGGGCACAGCACCTCCAGGTCTTCCTCGCAGAACAGTGTGAGCACCTGGCCGTGCTTCTCGCACACGTTGGTCTTCTCAGGCCGCCGCCGCTTGCGGCTGGTGCTCAGCTGGCGCGCGATCTGCACCATGCGGCCAAGCTGCGCGTTGCTGCGGTAATAGCACTCCTCACACTCGAAGCGGCACACGGGGCACGGGAACTTCTCCTGCAAGTCGGCCCACGACTGGCGGATGCAAGCGCGGCAGAAGTTGTGTCCGCACTCAATGGTCACAGGGTCGTTCAGGTCATCCAGGCACACGGGGCACTTGGTCTCGGCCTGCAGGCGCATCAGGGCCTCTGATACGACCACGGACATTGTGCAAGGACTCAGGGGGCTCTGGGTGCTTGGGAGGTTGAAGTCCCCTACCGGCAGTGCAGAGCTGCTGTGTGAGAAAAGTGGGGGACCAGGGTTTACTCCAGGGGCCACACATCAAGCCTCAATCTCATCTCCTCGCCTACCCCACGGGGCACGCTGCCCCCAGCACACAGTGATTGAGTTCAGGCCTTTTACACAGAGCCCCAGTTCCAGCCTTTCTCTCCTGAAACAAGTCTCTGCTCAGGCTCACCCCAAAGTTTCAATCCTCCAGTCTCAGCCTCCCCAAAGATAGGTATTTCCTGGGCTGGGCATGTAGCTCCGTGGCAGTTTAGCTTGCCTAGAATGTGCAAAGCTCTGGTTCTGATGTCCACCCAGCCCATATGAATGAATGAAATACCCTGCTTTATCTATTTGTGGCCCTGGGAATAGGGTCTCAAATGTGCTAGGTAAGCACTCTCACTGAGGTTTGACCTCATCCCCAGGTAAAGTACCTCTGGTGGCTCAAAATTCCTATCTAGCTGGGCATGCTGGCACACTCCTGTAATCCCAGCCCTTGGGTGGCTGATGCAGGAAGATCACAAGTTCCAGGCCAGCCTGAGCTACATAGTAAGTTCAAAGCTGGCCTGAACTATGTAGTGGGCCCCGTCTCAAAAACAAAACAAAACAACAACAACAACAACAACAAAAAAAAAACACAGCAGGGCATGGTGGTGCACACCTGTAATCCTAGTGCTTAGGAGGTTAAGGCAGGAGGATCATGTGAATCTGAGGCCAGCCTGAGTTACAAAGTAGAGACTCTGTCTCTAAAAACCAAAAGAAAAATCTTGCCAGGAGTGGTAACACATGCCTGTAATCTCAGATGAGGAGGAGGCCAAGGCAGGCAGATCCCAAATTTTAGCTCAGCCAAGGCAACTCAGAGAGCCAGTCCCAAACACAAAGCTGAGACAGCTGGGCTTTGTGGCACATCCCTACAATCCTTGAATTCAGGAGGCTGAGGCAGGACTGCTGGGAATTGGAGTAGTCCTAAGTAACAAGGTTCAAGGTCAGCAGGAACTACACAACTGAGACACTAATAAAATCAGACAAACTGCTGAGGCACAGTACCTCCGATTCAAGGTCAGCCTGAATTACAAGGAAAAACACCACAAAAAGAAAAAAAGCACTGAGGATCTAGATGTAACTCAGGCTCCCAGATTCAAACCTCATGCAGTACCACAAAAAAAGCACAGCACCTCATTCTGCCTTACATCCTCAGGAGCGCTGGGGCGCCGCTGTGACCCGAGTGGGACTATGAACTGGGTCTCCTGCCCTCACCATCCCCAACAGACCCTGCCTTTGGTAACCACGCAGGGGCACTGCCCCCTACCCTTCCTTCTGCTGCCCACAGCACAAGGCCTGGGCCCAACCCGGGAGGTGGAGGCAGCAGTGCAAGTGTGACCTCAGTCTGGGAAACCTGTCTCAAAACATAAAGAAGCCAGGTGTTGGGCTGGGGATTTAGCTCTGGGGCATAAGCGCTTGCCCTGCAGGCAAGCAGGATCCAGAGTTCCACGCTTAATAGCAAAAAAAAAAAAAAAAAAAGATAAGAAAAGCCGGGTGTGGTGGTGCATATCTATAATCCAGCACTAGGGAGGCTGAGGCATTAGGATCTCTGAGTTCAAGGCCAATCTGGGCTACAATGTGAGTTCAAGACCAGCCTGAACTGCTAAGTGAGTCCCTGCCTCAAAAACACAAAACCAAATCAAACACGTTAAGAGCTGCGCACGGTAGTGCATGCCTTTCATTCAGACAGTTAGGAGGCTGAAGCAGAAGTGGCTGTGTTCCAGGCCAGCCTAGCGTGCATATTGAGACGCCGGCGTCTAAGAAAAAAATCTAATAAGGATTAAAGCGAAAAGGGGAAGCAAGGTGGTACAGCTCACAGTGAAGACCTTGGCTTCAACCCCGACTCCAGAGAAAAAAAACCGCGACTTCCATTAGTGACTTTTGATACTGTGCCCAAGTTGGCCTGGAGCTTGTGGCGACTCTCCCGCCTCAGCCTCCCAGCACCACACCAGGCTTGCTGCTTAAAAGCCATGTAACCGACCGTTTCTATGCAGTTTGAACCTCTGTCCTGGGGAAATTAACAGTCACCTCCATGAGACCCAAGCACCCAGACGACCTGCACCCACATCAGCCTCCATACCCCACCCCGCCCAGAGGCCTTCCACCCCTTGCTTCCAACCAGAATGAGGTCTCCAACCTCGCAGGGCAGCACTGGGCCTGCTTACCTGGCCGCGGCTCTGGGGTAGTCCCTTGGCTTTCCAGGGGGTATCGCAGTACAGGTCAGGATGGCCTGGAAGACTCTGCAATCTCCAAAGCTCGACCTCACGCGGGCTGGAATGCCGGCGTGCGCCAACCCATATACTTTTATATACGCAGCTGTGGTGGCTCCGCCCACCGAGGATCATTTTCCGCCGGAAATGGGGAGCGCAGCTCGCCTAGGCGTGTGCGCGTGCGCGCTGGGGAGTGGGCGGGCTTGTGAGTTACTTCTTTTGTTTAGAACGTTGCAGTTTTGCTAGTAACGGAGTAGGTGACGTCATAGTTTGTTTTTCTGATACCATGTATTTGGCCCAGGGCCTTTGTGTTGAGCTACATCGTCAGCTCTTCTTTCATTTTTTTTATTGGCTATACTGCCTAGATTGGGCCCAAAGATGTAGTCTTTTTTTTTTTTTAATCGTTACCAGGGATCGAACTCACGCCTGCTTGCTTGTAAGGCAGGCCCTTATGCCGCTGAGCTAAAGATGCAATCTTTCTGCCTCAACCTCTGGGGATGCTGGGGTTATAGCAATGCACCATCTTACTGGGTTCAGATTTGGGTTGCTTATTGTGCTGCGGGTGGAACATAGAGCCTCGCCCTTATTAGACAATCACTCTACTGTGGAGCTAAACCCCGGCTCATACCCAGGCGTGGTGGCTCATGCCTATAATCCCAGCACTGGGGAGGCTGATGTGGGAGGATCTTTACGAGTTCGAGACCACCCTGCGCCACAAAGTGAGCTTAAGGCCAGCCTGAGCTGCATAGCGAGACCCCGTCTCGAAAAACAAAACAAAACAAAAAACACCCAGCTCATGAATCTTTTTAAAAAAAAATTCTTACTCGATGAAAATTACGCGATAAGAGTTGGGGGATGCAGCTCAAGGAGCAACAGCCTGGCAAGTGCAAGGTCCCCTGGCCAACTCTGCACAAAAAACTATTGTTTTTGAGACAGTCTCATTGTAAGACCGGGTTGGCCTTAAAACTCCTGCTTCAGTTTCCCAAGTGCTGGAATCAGGCCAGCATCACCATGCCCAGACAAAAATACAGAGTTAAAACTGGCTGCTGTTGCACTCGTAATCCCAACACTCAGGACACTTGAGACAGGAGGATCAATACAAGTCAACGGCCAGCCTGGGATACTTAGTGAGGCTCTGTCTCAAATAAACACACAAACAATATAAAAGGTGAAAGTGGCCTTAGGGTTAGGTCTCTGAAACCACAAAAGAAACAAAAAGCAACTAAACATCACATCCCCACCCTGCAGGTGCTGGGATCCACCCTAGTGCAGCACACAGCAGTTTATTCTCTTCACTAAGCTACACTTTAGCCAGCAATAATTTACTGCTGTTGTCTTTTGTTATTAATTAATTAATTAATTTCTGTTGGAATTGGGGATTGAAGCCAGGACCTTTGCTCTGCAGACTAGGCTGGCCTCAAACCCACAGTGACCCTCCTGCCTCAGTCTCCTGAAAGTAAAGGCTTACAGCCAGCACTGGGTGTGTCCCTGGGTCCTGCACTGGAGGACAGGACCCTCACCTTTCCTTATCCTCAGGTGCCCTATGGTCCTGCACGGGTTCTGGGGCCCATGCCTGACTTCTTTGTTCCATGGAGTTGGAAAACACAAGGATAGGCCTGATGTCTCTGCAGCAGGGCTGGCTGGCTTGGAGTCCCTCCTCAGCCCCACTAAAAAAGGAGCAGGAAAGGAAAGGAAATAGAAGGCACTCGTGGATGACTGAGAGTGCTTCTGGTGACAGATATGAAGGAGAAATACTTGTTACAACTCTTAAAGTGCTGTGTGTGGTGGTATACACCTATAATCTGAGCACTCAGGAGGCTGAGGCAGGAGATCACCTTGGCTTCCAACCCAGCCTGGGCTGCATAGTGAGTTCAAGGCCCATCTGAACTGCATAGCAAGATGCTGTCTCAAAAAAAAAAATAAACAAAAAAGAAAGAAAAAATTTTAAAGGTAAGTAGCACTGTGGGTGACCTCAGACTAGAATAGTGGATTGAGCTTTTGTGTATCTTTGAGGACAGGTGACCCTGATGACAGGTGACTTTGGCCAACTCTGCCCTCCCACCTGCTGCAGGCTGTCCTTTTTGCAGCTGTTGTGCTGATAAAGGAAAAGATTAGTGTGATACACAAATTAGGAATTGTTAAAAAAAATTAGGTTGATTGCTAACTGAAAGGAAAAAAAAATGTTTCCCCTAAGGGGTTTTAGTGTCAAAGAAAGTTAAGCTAGGTGTGGTGGTACTTGCCTGTGTTCCTAGAACTCGAGGCTGAGGCAGGAGGGTCACCATTAGTTCAAGGCCAAGCCTGGACTACATAGTGAGATCCTATGTCAAAACAAAAAAACAAACAAAATCACTTGTATGTTTCTTTTATGTTTTTAAAATTGGGGAGGGGGTTGTTTTTGAGACAGCATCTTGAATGTAGTTCAGGCTGGCCTTGAATTCACTATGCAGCTCAGTTTGGTCTTGAACTTGCCTCGATCCTCCTGCCTCAGCCTTCTTAGTGCTGGGATCATAGGCGTTTACCACCATACCCAGTGCTTGCCTGTTCTTTCCTGAGGATATAGCACAGGAAAACAGGCACAGAGCTGCTCGTGGGAGATAGGTGTGGGCCAGGAGCAGTGGCTCCACACCCACAGCTCATGGGGCCTCACTGCCCCATCACTAACCTGCATCTGAAAGGCCCTGCCCAGCCCATTGCTTCTTGTAAGCGCAGTGGGAAAAGTGCTCTGGATGGCAGGAAAGACAGTCTCAAAATGGACAGGAAGCTGTAGGCCTGTGACCTCATCCAACCCTCTGGGAGACTGATGCAGAAGGATCCTACACGCAAACTTCACCTGGGCAGTCTAGAGATTTACCAAGACTGCCTCAAAGTAAAACAAAAACAAAAACTGGTGATTGCTGATATAGCTCAATTCAAAATCCTTGGCTTCTATCTGTTACCAATGAGAAAATTCCAAGGGATTTCAGGATTTATGTACCAGGAAAGGGGGGAAGATCAAATGTTTTTTTCTTCATCAGTGTTAAATCTTTTCTTTAAAAGACCACATTGCCGTGTAGCCTAGGCTAACACCATAACATACTCTGTAGCCAGAGCAGGCCTTTAACTAGAGATCCCCCTGCATCAGCCTTTCCTGTGTTGGGATTACATGTGTAGGACACCAGGCCAGGCTCAAATATTTCTTTTTCTACTGCAGCAAATTTCCCAAAGAGGTGTCCCTGGATTCCACATTTGTATTCTCCAAAGCACAGCTATGATGTGCTGCCCCACCCCCCATCAGCGCTTGCCTGTCCCCCACTGAGCACCACAGCCTGCAGCATATGCGTGCAACCTAGGTATCTGGAACACAGGGACAATGACATTGGCAGACACTCTGGTGCTATTTTTAAACTGTGTTAAAAATAGCACCAGAGTGACTCCTGGGGAGGCACACGTGCAATCCCAGCACTCTGCAAGGCTGTGACAGGAGGGTCCCAAATTCCTACCTAGCCTGGCCAGCTTGTTAACCTATTAAGATTCTGACTCAGAATGAAAACAAGAAGGGTTAGGGATACGGTTTTGTGGGAAGGCCCTTGGGATGGCCCATCAGTTTGGGGGTCTCATTTCTAGGCTGGCCTGGAACTTAAAGAGATCCTCCTGCCTCAGCACCCCTCACCCCTAGTGCTGAGATTACAGGTGTGTACCACCACCACTCTGGGCTTGGACTGCGGAAGGGACATGTCCAGCTGCAAAAGTGACAAAAGAAAATCCAAGAAGCAGCACAAGCAACAGGTTGAGATGAAAATGGAAGATTTTTGAATCAGAAATAAGAAGTTTGAACAGAAGCAACTCCAGCAGGGAAGAATGAAGGCCTGAGGAAGGATTACAGACCATGTGAGGCAGGGTGACCCTGGATTCCTTTTTTGTTTAAATGTCCCTGCCCATAATCCCAGCACTCAGGAAGCTGAGACAGGAGGATGTGATGAGTTCAAGCCATCTTGAACTACATAGGAGATCCTGCCTTGAACAAATAAACAAATGTTCACACCTGTTTAAACACTGATATTCTTTGTCACATCTGCTGCCACTTAGATGGTAAGACTGAAGACTGCCTCAAGTTGTGGCAGTAACAGTAAACTTGTTTTTTCGAGGCGGGGTCTTGCTATGAGTTCAGCCTGGCCTTGAGCTCACTATGTAGACCAGGCTGGCCTCAAATTTACAGTAATCCTGGCGAGGTGGTGCAGGCCTATAGTCCCAGCAGTCGAGAGGCAGAAGCAGGAGGATCGCTGCAAGTTCAGGAACAGCCTGGTTTACCATAGTGAGACCTTGTCTCAAAAAACCAAAAAAGTAAATTCTGTCTGAACAAAAACAGTCGACATCTCAAGGTTAACGGGGGGCTGCAGTTTGGCCCTGGAGCCTGCATGTCAGAATTAAAACAAGTCACTCAGCCTGGCAGAGTGCTCCATTCCTGGAACCCTAAATATGTGGGAGGCTGAGACAGGAGGATTGCAAATTTGAGCCATGCCTGGACAATTTAATGTTTAGTGACTTCCTCTTAAAATTTTAAAAGTGTGGGGAGCTACTTCAGCAATGGGCTCAATCCCAAATGCCCTTTGTTAGAAGAAACAGTATTAGCCAGTCATGGTGGCTCAGGTCTGTAATCCCAGCACTCAGGAGACTGAGGCAGGAGGATCATTGCAAGTTTAAGACCAGCCTGGGCCACAAGGTGAGTTCAAGGCCAGCAGCAACTGCAGAGTGAGACACTGTTTCAAAAAAAAGAAGAAGAAAAAAACCTCAATATTTTATTTTTTAAAAAGTTATTTTAAAAACTAAAATTAAATGTGATCATTATGTACAAATGTGCACTTTAAAATTTTTTTTAACACCTAAATGTGAGCTGGGCATGGTGCCACAAGTTTGTGATCCCAGCACTCTGGAAGACTCAGGCAGGAAGATCTATTTGAGTTCAAAGCCAGCCTGGAAATATAACAGTTTAGGGAGACCCTGTTTCAAAAAAATAAAATATAATATAATGGGCTGGGAATGCAGCTTAATGTGAAGGCTATTGATTTAATCCTCGAGCTACACACATAAACGCAATGAATAAGTAACAATGTGATTCTTTCATCTCTATATGATGCTGGGGACTCTGCTTTCAGCTAGCATCTTGGCCATGCTGACAAAGCCCTTTCAGGCATCAGCAACTGAAAAACATGGTTTACAGGAACTGGCTTGGCTGAAGTGGTGACACATGTCTGTAATCCCAGGACTCAGAAGGTAGAGGCAGAGCTGGGCGTGGTGGCTCACACCTGTAATCCCAGCACTCCTGAGGCTGAGGCAGAAGGATGGTTTTGAAAGTGAGCTCAAGGTCAGCCTGAACTGCACATCGAGACCCTGTCTCAAAAAGACCAAAAAAAAAAAAAAAAAAGGACTGAGGCAGGAGGATTCCCGAGTTTGAGGCCAGCCTGAGCCACATGGTAAGATCAAGGCCAGCCTACATGTTCTCAATGGAATAAAATAAACCAAAAATACAAAACAGGCTTCCACACATTGTAATGCAAACTCGAGCCTGGACTCCAGGTTAATCCTCAACCAGCTGTGACCACAGACAGGGCCTGTGCAGAGCTTCCTTGGCTCTGTGCTTGGGCCCTTTCTCTCCTGGAAGAACGGACAGGAGTAGCCAGGGAAGCACACAGAAGGCAGCAGGGAGCCTGGCCATGTCCGGCCAGCGTGTGAGGAGGGTGGATTCTGACACCGGCTTTGGGGTGCAGCTTGGTGACTGAGCAGGTGCCTAGAATCCTGGGGGCCTAGGCTCAAAGCCAGTCCAACAAAACTCCCCGATCTCCTTGGAGATGCGCGTGTGCGGAAACGCCCAGGTCCCACTCGTGCTCCTGTTCTCTACGGCGTTTTTCTGGGAAGTCTTACACTTCCCCAGGGACGCGGGACTCAGCAGCACACGACTGGGGGCGGGGGGGGGGATCGCGCCCCCAGGAGACGGGCAATAAGATTCTGCTCAGGAATCTGGCCCCTCCAACTCCCCCTGTAAGGCCTCTGGGCGTGGGAACCATCCCAAGAGGGTGTGATTTTCCCGAGAAGAGTCCGGGAGGGAATCGGGCTCAGACAGACCTTTAAGACCACAGAGTGGTGACAAAGGGGACGTTGCAGGGAGGAGTGAGGGGTAGCTGCACATTGGGTCTTGGGGACGGAGGAGCCATTCCCTGGGATGAGAGGTGCAGGGCAATGGGCGCCGCCTTGGCACAGGGTACCTGGAGTGTGGGTGGCTTGGGAGGACACACTCAGAAGTGACCAGAAAGTAGTTGGATATTCTGGCACAAAGCCTGAGAAAAAAAAATTTTTTTTTTGACACAGGGCCTCCCTATGTTGCCCAGGTGGGCCTCGAAGCTCACTTCGATCCTTCTGCCTCAGCTTTCTGAGTGCTGGTATTACAAGTGTGCCCCACCAAGCAAGGCTCTGAGAAATTGTAATGACAGCTTTCAGGGAACTAGGGTAGAGAACTTGCAGGAGGCCCTAGGTTCAATGCCCCCTGCTGGAAAAAAAAAACAGAAAAAACTAGGAAGCCTACAGGGTGGGAGCACACCTGTGGTGCCAGTACTCTGGGAGGCTGAGGCAGGAAGATGGCAAGTCTATCATGACATTTAATATATAACTTCAAATGAACATCAATGGAAAAACATTTCATAGGAAATTTAAAATGTCTACTTTAGTGGAGAAAAAAATTTAAATATTTCTTCAGGTCAAGCGTGGTGGCACATACCTACTGTAGTCCCAGCACTAGGGAGGCTGAGGCAAGGAGGGTCATTCTGAGTTTGAGGCCAGCCTGGGCTACAAAATGAGCTCAAGGCCAGCCTGAACTGCACAGAGAGACCCTGTCTCAAAAAAATTATATAAATAAAATTTTGTATGTATGATGTGTAAAGGCCGGGGATATAGCTCAGCAGCATAAGCACCTGCCTGGCAAGCTCAAGGTCATGAGTTCGATCCCCAGTACCAAAAAAAAAGTTAGCAATATATTATATATGGGTCATATAATTTATATATAAAACATACATTTTTATATATAAAATATATGTATATAAATTATATGTATAAATATATATATGTAATTACTGGCAGCTCTGTCCCACACCTGAGATCCACTTCCATCACTTGCAGTGGCAGCTGTTAGAGCCTAGTGGCCAGAATGGGCAGCAGGTTGACAGCCAAGAGGCTTTTAAGCAGGCCTTGGCTGGTGCAGGACATACACTTCAGTAGTTGAGTTCTCAGGCATAAGGTGTGGGCCTTGCAGAATGATCAAACTTTTTCCTTACTCCTTGTCTGAAAAATATTCCTACCTGTGGTTCCTTGGAGTAGATGCTGATGACCATTAGGACATGACTGTAGGCTGTGAAGTCTAATGGAGGCCCACCTTTGGGGTGAAAAAGCAGGTGAGTTTTCAGGTGCTTTCAGGAAAAGCTTGAACCCACCATTAATGAATTAGTCTAAATGTGTTTTCCAAACAGCATAACCAGCCATCAGATTTTTTAAAACTTTAATTTATGAAAACTATGAAGGAAACTATATATACCTAATCGCCATCTGATTATAAATGATAAAGTATTCATTCATTCTACCCTTTTTAAAAAAAAAAATATTTCATTGGAGTTAGGCATGATGACCCACACGTGACTCCAGCATTCAGGGAGCTGAGGTAGGAGGATCTCAGTTTGAGGCTAGCCTGGGCTACATACTCTAAAGCTAGCCTGAACCACAAAAGGAAATCCTATCTCACAAAAACCAAAGAAGGGACCAGGGATAAAGCTCAGCGATAGGACATGAGGTCCCAGTTCAATTCAGTGTACCATAACAAAACAAAAAACCCGAAAAAATTTATATAGCTCAGTGGTAGAGCACGGGTCTCCATACACAAAGTCCTGACATCAGTCCCCAGCAGTGCACCAAGATAACTGATTTCATTGGACATAATAAATAGTCTTGGCTGCAGAAGTAGGAGTTCTGGGAAGTAGGAACTTGGCTGCAGAAGTAGGAACTCACTGGGAGTTCAAGGCCAGCCAGAACGCCAGTTTATCAAATAAATAAATCAAGTATCTCAGAACTGAAATCACTCGACAACTGATTTCATATCTATGGGATTAGCAATGTCACAACAGCAATGTTTTTATAGTTACTGAAAACCAGGGTGCAACATCTCTTCCGATTTGGATACGTGGTGAAGCTTTGGAACCACCTGGGAACCCTGGTCCAGTTGGCCCCAAGGCCGCATGATTCACAGATCCCTAAGTGCCACGCTTCGACACAGGACAGAGTCTCAGCGGCTCGGAATCTCGTCCTGCGTAGAAATAAGGCCAGACGTTTCTGGTGAACCGATCGTGGAACGTGTAGAGCACGGACCCATCGTCCACGTTGTAGAAAGAAATCTCGCCCAGCTCGTAGTCCAGGAAGACGCCGACCTTGTTGGGCCTCACCTGGGGCACGATCCGGGCTTTCTGGGTGCCGAAGACCAGGTAGGAGCTGTTGCAGCGCCCGAGGGCCCAGAAGCCCCTGTACAAGTCCGGCTCGTTGCGCCAGTTGCGGGGCAGGGCGCCCTGGCAGGCGCCCAGCGTCCACTTGGGCTTGGCGCCCACCTCCACCTGCCAGTAGTGCCGGCCACAGTAGAAGAACTGTTGGCTCAGGAGGGCCAGGCACAGGTAGAACCTGTTGGGGGAGTAGCCCACCCGTCTCCGTTCCTCGAGGTAGGTCACGCTCTTCCGGTCCGCGGACACTTCGAGCTGTGGGTGCGCCGAGGTGGGGTCGAAGAGCAAGTTGACCTGGAAGAGCTGCACGATGCGCTCCAGGCCGGAGAACTGGGCGGGCAGCTTCAGCTGGAAGCCGCTCAGCTCGATGGTGGAGGGCAGCATGGTGGTGGAGGGCTCGGGGCGCCCGAGCGTCTGCCGCTTGTCCTCGATGCTCTTCAGGGAGCTCAGCAGGGCCACGTCGCAGGAGACAGCGCCCTTGCCCTCCACCTCCTTGAGCAGAAAATTCTGCCCGGACGCGTAGTTGGAGATAGTGGTGAGGTGCTGGTTCAGCTCCGCCAGGATCTCCGCCTCTTCCTCGTCCATCCGCCGGAGCGTGGCCTCCTGCTCGCCCTGCAGGAACTGTCGCACCCGCTCGAACTCAGCCTCGATCTCCTTCCGCCTGGCCACGGCCTCCTTGTGCAGCTCCAGGGTCTTGGTGTCCTGCAGCGCGATCATCTTCTCCACCTGCTCCAGCTTGCTCCGCAGCGGCTCCACCGAGCTCTCCAGCCGCCGCCTGTGCTCAGGCGCGGCCTCCTCGACGAGGCTCACGTTGTGGCGCCGGTGCTCCGGGGCGAAGCTGCAGTGCGCGCACAGCAGCTCCAGGTCCTGCTCGCAGAACAGAGTCAGCGCCCGCTGGTGCGGCTCGCACACGGCCTGCTGCGCCTCCTCCTGCTTCCTCTTGCTCCGGCGCAGCACCAGCTGCTGCACCGCCTGGGTCAGGCTGCTGAGCTGCGAGTTCCTGATGAAGTTCGGGCTGGCCAAATTGAAGCGGCAGACCGGGCAGGGGAACCTGTCGGTCAGGTCTTTCCAGCAGGCGCTCAAGCAGTCACAGCAAAAGTTGTGTCCACATTCAATGGTCACCGGGTCCTTGAAGTAATCGAAGCACAAGGGACAATGGCTCTCCTGTTGGAGGGAGGTCAGGGTCCCGGAGAACGCCATGGGGCTGGGTGCTGGAGACCACCGAGGAGGCCTGCTGGAAGTAGCTGTCCCTGGGTCCTGGCAGGCTGCCGGGCACCAACGAAATCTTGCTGAATACCTCGGTGCCTAAACTCAAAAGACAAGAATTTAAAACTTGGAGCTTTTCAGATTAGTCCATCTGAACTTCATGCTAATGATTTTTTTTTTTTTCAAGATACCAAGCGGTGGTTCCTGTGGGCGAGAGAAAAGTTTGCGTTTCTCGTGTGCAGGTTTGAAACCACCTGGTAATAGTTGATTCAGGCAAGAATCATCAGCGACTGTGAAAGCTATTGGGGATGCTCAAAGATGATAGAATACAGTTTGAGAATCTCTAAAATGGGCATAATGGCACACACCTGTAATCCCAGTTCTGGAGACAGTGAGGCGGAGTTTTTTGCAGAGTTTGAGGCCAGCTGGGCTATTTAATGAGACTTTTTAATAAAAACACGTCTGTTGCTGGCCATGAGTGCCCACCTATATGTAATCCCAGTCTTTAGAAGGCTGAGGAAGGAAGATTGCTGTGAGTTGGAGGGCAGCCAGGGCTACACAGTGAGTTTAAGGCCATCTTTAACTGCAGAGTGAAACCTTGTCTCAAAAAACCAAAACAAACATTCTGTGATTTTTTTTTTCCTGAGACAGATTCTCACTATGTAGTTCAAGCTGGTTACAAACTCATTATATAATTTAGGTTGGCCTTGAACTCATGGCAGTCCTCCTGCCTCAGCCTCATGAGTGCTGGGATTATAGGCATGTGCCACTGTGCCTGGCTAAAACTTTCTGTTGAGTATAAAATTGGAATGATTTCATTCTGTACCTATGGCCCAACCTTCCACAGTACATTTTCCTAAAATAAAAGCCCAACACCTTGCCACGGCTGGGCAAACTGACAGGACCTTACAATGGGACCCATGGCTGTCTTTCCTTGCTCAGGGCTGCTACAGTGGACTCCTGTAAAGCTGAGTTCTCCACTGTGGATGTGCCCACCCTGCCTCGGGTCTCCTGAGACCCCTTTGGGCCACCTAGCAGGTCCAAGGGGAGCTATCTCTACCCACCAAATGGACTTTGCCCTCTCTGCTTCCCCTCTTTTGTTTTCCCTTTGAACCCAACACTGCACTTAGCTACATCACCAAGCCTTTTTTTTGTTGTTACCTTGAGAGGGGATCGTACTTAGTTGCTAAGTACCCCGGGCTGGGCTCCAACTTTCTGATGCTTCTGCCTCTGCCTCTCAGAGTGCTGAGATTACAGCCTATCACTACATTTTTTTTTCGCTCTCTTGAGACAGGGTCTCTCCAGGTAGTCTAGGCTGGCCTTGAACTCACTGTGGAGCCCAGGCTGACCTCAAACTCATAGTGATCCTCCTGCCTCAGCCTTTTGTGTTCTGGGATTATAGGTGTAGACCACCACACCCAGCTTTTCTACTTTTAATCATAGAACTCAATCATGACTTGAAACAGTCTTCTACATGCATTTGTTTCTTGGTTCATGCCTTTTGTTTTTTATTGGCAAATGAGACAAACTGAAATTAGGTAGTTTATCTTATTCATAGAAAAGTCACAACAGACTTAAAATGAATAATGAAGAAACTTACCCTAAAAATAAACAGACAAGGCTGGGGACTGGTGGTGTGCGGCTGTAATCACACCTGTAATCCTAGCACTCTGGGGACTGAGGCAGGAGGATTGCCATGAGTTGAGGTTGCCTGCGCTATATAGTGAGACTATCTCAAACAACAACAAACAAAACCTCTAAAAAGTTCAAACAATAAGTGACAATTTGGTAGGACAGAAATTGGATAGAGATTTCTAAACTAAAGGATTAGGATTAAAGAGCTAGGCATAGTGGCTGACCTGTAATTCCAGCACTCTGAAGGCTATGAAGCAGGATTGCCATGAGTTTCAGCCAGCCTGAATTACATAGAAACCCTGTCTCACAAAGCCAAAATAAATTCATTAATAAAGAGGAAATAAAACCATGCAGAATATATTATGAATGAATTTATGCCTAAAAAGACATAACTGGGCATCATAGTACATACCTGTAGTCCTGGCACTCAGGAGGCTGAGGCAGGAGGAGTGACCTAAATTTGAGGCCAGCCTGGGCTACCTAATGAGGCCTTGTCTCAAATAAAAATCAAATAAGTTTCTAAAAACCAAGAAATTATAAAGGACATCATACACCCAACAGGAGTATAGGAATAAAACATAGGCAGAGGCTCTAGATGTGACCCCTAGTATCACAAAATAATAATTGTTTCAGCCAATACCCTGAGGACAGGCCCAGCGTCCCAGTCTCTGGAGGAGCAGAGCCAACTTCACAAACACTAGCCAAAGGATTTCCCTCAAATGCCCTTCCTCTCTTTTCTCATTCTCTTCTATTCCTTTGCACCCTTTGTTTTTGAGACAGGGTGTCCCTAAAAGGCTCAGGCTGACCTTGAACTTGGGGTGATCTGCCTGCCTCAGCCTCCCACCACACCTGCTTCATTCTCTCTTCATGATTAAGATCTGTGAACATGTGCAGAAACATGAAATTCTGATATTCTGGGAAGCTAAGGAAGGACTGGGAGTTGCTCGAGCAATTTAGCAATTTCTCAAGAAAGAAAAGAAAGAAAAAAGCCAGGCATGGTGGCACACGCCTGTAATCCCAGCACTGGGGAGGCTGAGGCAGGAGGCTCAATGTTTGAGGTCAGCCTGGGCTACAAAGTGAGCTCAAGGCCAGTCTGAACTGCACTGTGAAATGCTGTCTCAAAAATCCCTCCTCCTCAAAAAAGGCTGGAGATGTAGCTCAGTACAGAGGCCCTGACTCCAATGTCCAAAACTGCAAACAGCCAGACTACACAGTGAGTTTTAAGGCCTTCTACACTACATAATGAGACCCTGTCTCAAAAAACCCCAATGCTGCCAGGAACAAGTACCACCAAAAATAGAGGGGGAAAAACTGCCCTGCTATCTATGTTTGTTTCTCTCTCTTTCTCTTTCTCTTTCTTCTCTTTTCTTTTTCTTTTTTTCTTCTCTCTTCTCTTCTCCGCTTCTCTTCTTTTCTCCTCTCTCTCTGTCTCTCTTTCTTTCTTTCGATAGGACCTCACTATGTAGCCTAGTCTGGCTTCTAACTTGCAGAGACCCTCCTGCCTCTGGCTCTTGAGTGCTGTGGGCATGCACCATCCTGCCCGGCCATTTCTACGGTTTTACTCACTGTCTGACTCTGTCTCACACTATCCCTCAAACAACTGTATAACATGGCTTTTCAAAAACTCCAGTCCTATCACTTTTCCCTTTTAATCTTGCCATAAGTTTACTCCAAGAACAAAGACTTAACCAGACACTGCCTGCCAAAAATAGGGCCCAACTGTGAGGAGACAGGCGTGTGGAGATCGCGGGAACTCCTGGCCTTGCTCCTCTATGCCCCCCTCCAGGTCCTCCCAGCCCTCGAGATTTACCTGAAGCAGGTGGATCGGCGGCACCCACACCTGCCGAGCTGGTCAACGTCATTGACAAGCTCGGCATGGTTCCCACACACACTTAAGAAGCGCGGTTGCCCTGGAGAGGCACGCTCGGCCTGCGCGGTGATTGGCTGTTCCCAGGAGTGGGCGTGAATGACGGGCGGAGAGGAGGGTGTGAGACTTCACATCAGGGAGACCCCATTTTCCAGGGCTGAGGTGCAGCGCTGTCATCCAGCGGGTGCTTCGAGGGAAAGCGTCCCTTGATGCAGTCTCCAGCACCAAAACAATTGCCCATGTCTACCTTGTCAGATTATTAATTTTTGAGACAAGGTCTCACTCTATAATCCAAGGTGGCCTCTGCGCGCTGAGAATATGGGTGCGTGACACCACGCCCTTTTAATCACTTCAGATTTTTCGGACTGTGTTTTTACCCCCAGGAGCAGCTCCTAGTTTCCAGTCGCTGGCTTGTTTACACCTCAGTGTGGTAGGACAGCTCTCTGCCTCATCTTCCCAAGGACAAGGGTGGGACACAGGAAGGAGAGGTGACCTTGGAAGAAGGGAGCTGTCAGCTCCTAGAAATCAAGAACTGGAGACCAAGATAAACTCTCCCAATCAGGTGTGATGGCCCACGCCTATAATCCCAGTACTTGGGGTCGAGTCTGTAGCAGGAGAATATCCCCAAATCTGAGGACAGTCTGGCTTGTATAGTGAATTTCCACCTCCCTAAACTACAGACCGAGGGCCTAGTCCGGGGGTGGCAAACCTCTTAGAGACCAAGTGCACCCAATGCAACCAGAAACCCACTTGTTTATTGCAGATTTTAATTGCACCACTGCAATTAAACCTGAATACTGAAGGTTTAGTTTAGAAAAAAACCTCACAGAATAACATCTTTTGTCTTACAAGAAAAGCATAAGAATAGAGCTTTCACTGATACAAATGGCTTTTTATTGAAAGGTAAAAGTGCATTTGGCTTGCTTTTGCACAATTAATGTGATTTTTGTTGTTTTATGCTTGCTGTTCATTTGTCAAACCTTGACCCTTACTTCATTATCTTAGAGCAACACAAGCAACCCTCGGGGGGTCACCAGTTAGTCTGATTCTTGTCTGGGGTTTGATATAATTCAAAGCTGAAAGCAGCCGCCCCATGCATAAAATGTTCCAAACAAAAGCAACCTCGAGTGCTTTCACTGACATAAAATTATTTGACAGGGAATTTCACACTTAAGGAATTTCATTTCCAAAAACAAACAAAAGTTAGAATATAATATCTGTTTAAAGAGGTAAAACTTTTAAGACTTCACTCTACACTCTTACAGATTTAAGACATTTTTTAATGTAATAGAAACGAAGTTAGATGAGCAGGAAAATTAAGTTTGACAAACTTAATTGACATGGAGATTTAAGATCCAGTGAATTTGAAATGCATATTCCAAATAACATGTGAACGCGAACGCACAAGGTAATGTTTAATTAGTTTTGCGAAAAAACAGGGGATTTATAGATCTCTGTGTTTTGAGCTGTGAAAAAAAAGGGGAGGCTGGGCATTTAGCTCAGTGGCTCAAGTGCTTGCCTGGTAAGCACAAGGTTGTGAGTTCGATCCACAGTACAAAAAAAAAATTTTTTTTTTTTTTTCATTTTCCGTACTGGGCTTCATCCTCCCTTCACAATCTGTCTTCTTGTGTGTCACATGCAGGCCATAAAATTCATTTTTCCAAAAAGAACTTTCATGAAATTCCAACAGCTCTGTTTCCAAAACAGGCTCTGTCTCTATCTCTCTGAATTGGAATCAGAATATCTGAATCAGAATCAGAATTCTGAATCAGAATCTCTCTCTCTGAATTACTATGCAGTGCAGGCTGGCCTCAAACTCATGGCAACCCTCCTGCCTCCACCTCCTGAGTGCTGGAATCACAGGTATGTGCCATCAAGGCAGACAGACTTGGGCAATCTTCAAAACTAAATTGTTCTCCAGAATTCTACACTTCAGTTACACACTTCAAAGAATGTTTTCCTTTTACAAATGGGAAGGAGACCAATAAAATGGGTGGGGGATACAGTAAGATGTGTGATTCATCTAATAAAAATAAAGAATGTGTCCCGGGGAAATACTCATTAGAAGAAGCGATAAAGAGCATGTATCAAGCTGTCCTTGAAACGTCTCACTTGAGGACCTTTGTGCTCCCTGTAAAAGAGAACAGAAGGAAGAAGTGGACACATTTGGGGAGCCCTTGATGGCCATGGTGAGGCACACCTGTAAGCTCAGCACTCAGGAAACTGAGGCGGAGGATCTCTGAATTTGAAGCCAGCCTGGCCTACAAAGTGAGTTTTAAGGTGGCATGAATTGTGTAGTGAGCCCTATTTAAAAAACTCAAAGGATTTTGTCTCTCTGTAAAAGCAGTGAACTACAACTGTTTCAACAGTTTCATGGAGCATAATTAAAATCAGGGTTTCAGCTGGGCTTGGTGACACAGGACTGTTAATCCCAGCACAGGAGAACCTGAGGCAGTCCCGCATAGGCAACCAGTGATTTAATTGGATCCTGTTTCAAAATAAAAAAATAGGTTAGGATGTAGCCCCGTGTCAAGGTCCTAGGTTCAATCGTCAGTACTGAAAGTAATAATATTGTGCTTGGAGAAAAGGCAACGTGTAGGGAAGACGGTGAGGTCACTTGGTGGCCACATCACATCAGAGGTGGCTTGGACTCAGGACCGCGGTTGGAGGTTGGGGGGCTCAGGGTGGGGAGGTGGGGCTGCAAAGAGTGGGGGTCCCAGCCGTGAGGAGGGACCATCAGGAGTCTAGGTACCAGTGCCCCCCGAACCCCACACTGCCCGGAGACTGCGCGGGAAGATGTCACTGCGGGCTGCAGAGCCTACAGCTGGGAGAACACCACAGCCACGCAATCTTCAGAACCACAAAGTCCCCACCATCAAGGCCTGATGAAAGCCTTCTCAGGATTCGCCCCGGGCCCTGAGGATCCACGCTCGCCCCACCCACAAGGCCTGGGGACAGCCAATCACTGTCGTGCGGCCCCGCCCCCGACAGGGAGGAGCCTTGATGCCCCGCCTCCACGGATCCGTGGGTGGACAGGTACTGCGGATAGGACTCCCGCGTGGTTTACCGTGTGACCGTCTCGTTCTTCTTTCAGTGCAGGGACTGAGCCGAGCCTTCTTACGGGGCTCCCCCCAGCCCTGATGTATTTGGAGACCGCATGCGCGAAGGACTTAGTTGCCCTGACTGGGTAGAGGCTGGTGCTCCTCCAGCCTCGGCCCCAAACCCCGGGTTCCAAACAAGGGTCACCGGTCCGGGCCTATTGTCTTGATGGGGGAGCAGTATCCTGGGTAGAAGCTCTGGCAGCGCTGTCGTGACTTGAAATGGGAGCTGGTGGATCACGTGGCCTGCCTGTGCCTAGTAGGGCACACACTAGGTCCTAGGATGCAGCTGCCGGGTTGCTGAGGCTGTGACGCAGGACAGGAGGCACATTCCAAGTGTTTTTTCCTTCTTGCTATTTTGGGGCTTTCAGGATCCAGCGCGTTAAAAGCAGGTTATACCTCTGAGCTACCTCCCCCAGGGTTGTTTTTCTGAGTCTCGCTAAATTGCCCGAGCCGGCCTCGAGCCTTCCCTCAGCCTCTTGAGCACCGGAGCTTCAGGTGCGTGGTGCAGACGCAGCCCTAGCTTGGGCTAATTTTTACAATACCAAGGATTGAATTCAGGTTTTCATACAAGGGGAGCAAGTGCACTGCTACTGACCCATATCTACTTCTGTGATCTAAAAAAATTAAGAGGTGGGCGTGGTAGCACACGGCTGTCATCACACTGCTCGGGAGGCTGAGGTAGGATCACTGTGTTCAAGTGCAGCCTGAACTACATCGTGAGACTGACAAAAAAAAACCAAAACCATGTGTGAAGAAACCACCTGCTATGCATGGTGGCACATAGCAGTAATCCTTGAGCCTGAGGCAGGACTGCTGTTGAGGCCACTCTGGGTTACATAGAGTTCAAGGCCAACCTGGACTACATAGTGAGGCCCTGTCTCAAAAAGGCAACCAACTGGGCGAGGTGGCTTACGCCTGTAATCCTAGCACTCGGGAGGCTGAGGCAGGAGGATCGTGAGAGGCCAGCCTGGGCTACAAAGTGAGCTCAAGGCCAGCCTGAGCTGCATAGGGAGATCGTTTCAAAAAAAAAAAAAAAAAAAAAAAAAAAAGGCAACAGGCTGGGGATTTAGTCAGCTGCATAAGCGCCTGCCTTGCAAGCAGGCAGTCGTGAGTTCGATCCTGGTACCGATAAAAACAAAAAAGGCAAAAAAAAAAAAAAAAAAAAAAAAGCAACACAAGAAACCCATCAAACCACAATTTGGCCAGTAGGTAACCAATAAAATTTAGGTGAAACTTCAGAAAATATGTACTTAATCCAGGAATTTTAGCATGTTTGTAATCTAAGCTACTGTAAGGCTAGTTTGAAGCCAATTTACTGACATGTCTCAAAGAGGGCTAAGATTCAGTGGTAGATTGATCCTGGTTTCAATTCCAAGTGTTTTGTGTGTGGGGAGACATCAACTGTTCTCAAATTAAGCTAATGTAAAAAATTCCAAACCCAAAGAGCAGTGCTCTCAGGTCTTGAATTTGCAAAGCTGTGAATCCCGGCATTAACAGAAGCAATCTAAGGAGGAAAATGTGGAAGATTATGAGGTGAGATCAGGCCCTAAAATGAGTCAAGGATGGCAGCTGAACAGGGGTAGAGTGCACTGTCCAGATGGCACATGTGCAGGAGCTAGCAGAAGGCACAAGTGTGACCACATTGGCAGGAAGAGCAATGCAGTCAAAGCAACTGAGGTGCTGGGAGCACAGCCTCATGGGACAGCCCTGGGTCCAATTAGCACGAGGAAAAAAAATTTGCCCAGAAATATATAAGTAACCAGATGAAAGCTGAAGGGGATCACTCATGAAGAGCAAGTGTGGCCCAGGAATGTCCACCTTTACTACAGGTTTATCAGTAACAGGCATTGAACCCACCACTGTGCGCTTGCAAAGCAGGCGCTTATGCCTGAGCTAAATCCCCAGTTCCTACAGGCTTAATTCTTAAACGAAAGTAACAGTGATACAGAAAGGTGAATGTAGTTTTATTGGCAACTATTAGAGTAACATTCAGTTAAGAAACACATTTTCCAAATAGAGTAACACATTCAGTTAAGAAACACATTTTCCAAGTATTTTATCTGAGAACCTCTAGTAGGGCCCCTTTGACTTATGTAAAAGTAGGCATCATCATCACATATTTAAAGAACCTCCTCAAAAGACATTTACAGTTAAAACTGAAAAAAAAAACCCATTGACATCATTTGAAATTGCTTTGATAATGGGTCACTATGTCCACTAAGAAAAACAGATTTCCAACAGCTCATCATTCAGACTCTGTCACTGTACAGATTCTAAGGGGTCGTGACTCCGTACCAGTGTAGAAATAAGGCCAGACAGGTCCTCCAAAATAATCATTAAAAGTATGCAGAAGAGATCTATCACTCAAATTGTAAAAGGAAACCTCACCCATTTCGCAATCTAAAAAAATGCCAATCTTAATAGGTATCACTTTGGGCAAAAGATTGACCTTCTTGGGACCAAATGCAATGTAACTGGTGTGACTACACCGCCCAATGCCCCAAAGTCCGGCTTTTACTAAGAAGGGCTGATTCTGATTCTTCCTCCTCCGGGGCAGAGCTGCGGTACAGATGCCCAGGATCCACTCGGGTTTGTCTTTTACTTCCACCTCCCAGTACTGCCTGCCCGAGCTGTAACTCCTGGCACCCAGCACAGCTGGCCAGATATAAAATTTTTGGGGGCTATGGGGTAGTTTTTGCATATTTCCATAACGCACACTCTTCCTATCTTCTGAGATAATAAGCTTACGATGTGCTGTTTCAGGATCTAGAACTACGTCTACATGAAATTGCTTGATAATTCTGTTCAGTCCAGAATACTGTGGAGGGAGCTGGTAAACATAATCTCTGAATTGGAATGAGAACATTTCAGGGCATTTTAAACTTCTGTATCTGCGGTAAATACTCTTCACACTTGTCAGCACTTCAACTTCTGACTTTACATACTTGCTCTCTATCTCCTTTAACAGACATTTTGATGCAGAGGCATGATCTGAAGTGTCTGCCACATTTTCATTTAGTTTTGCTAATAGCTCATTCTCTTCATCTTGTAACTGCCTAACAACAGCCTCATGCTCATTTTGAAGAAACAGCATAAACTGTTCGAATTCAGACTTTATTTCTTCTCTCCTATGTTCTACTTTTTTCTTAAGTTCCTCTGATTTTCCAGTCTGCATAGCAATCACTTTGTCAATTTGTTCCACTTTCTCCTTCCAGAGCTCAATGTGGCGCGCTAGCTGTTTCCTATGATAGTCCGCAGCCTTCTCTATGGGCCAGATATAGTGCTGCTGGTGATCGGCAGAGAAGCTGCACTGTGGACAAAGAACCTCCAGGTCCTTCTGGCAGAAAACGGTCAGGACCTGTTTGTGCGTCTCACACATGAGGCTCCCTTCCTGCTTTTTTCTCTTACTCCTTCTCAGTGGCAGCAGCTTAGCGATTTCAGTCAAATTACCTAGCTGGAAATTGTTCTGGAATTTCTTGTTTGGACAGACAAAATGGCAAGAAGGGCAGGGGAAACTGCCTTTTAGGTCTTTCCAGGACTCAGTGATGCAGGCGAGGCAGAAGTTATGCCCGCAGTAGATTGTCACTGGGCTTTTCAAGTATCCTAGACAGATGGGACAGCTAGCCTCTGCCTGGAGGTCTGCTAAGGCTGCCGCTAGCTCCATGGAACTGAACAAAAGGCAACAAGCAAGGAAATGCTTCTTTTTAAGCAAGGGGTGTCCTCTCCTAGACCACCTCAATTATCAACCAACACTCAGCTCTACTGAAAGTGCTATGAAAATTCAGTATGACTCGGCTTTTAAGTCTGCACTTGGCAACAGGACTACAGTCTATTTTGCATCAGAACATATCAGTTGGGTGGCTGCTCCTCTGTGTCGATCATCTGAAGTCAGCTTCAGTTTTCTTATTCAAGAAAGTAACCTCAGGTCCAAACAAGGAATCCTTCCTGTGGTTTTGAGACAAGACATTTCAGGTAAACTGATTCTGTAATCATTAATGTATTAAAACATTCACACAAGAGTCATAATATTTCACAATTACATACAATCAACAGACAAAAAATGTTCTTAGGAGATACAGCATAAAGCATGGGAGTGATACTACCTGCATGGCAGCAATTTACTTTCATAATGTTCAACAATTAAAACACACACAGCACAAGTGTAGCAGAAGTTAACTGATGAATTTAAGCACAAAGTATATGGATGTTCAAGCAAATGGTGTTCCTCCATTCATCTTGCAAGCCATCTCACCATGAATGCAGTATTCTTTCCCTTTCTCCCTCTCTAGACACTTCCCCCCAGCATTGGGGACTGAACCCAGAGCCTTTTCACTAACCTTCAGCACTTTTTGTTTTTAATTTTGTATTTTGATGCAGGGTCCTTGCTGTGTCAAAGCTGTCTAGGCTGGACTTACAATTCTCTTGCCTAGGCCTTCTGGACTGGTAGGATTACTGTTATATACACTAGACTTGAATATTACTAAACATATTTTCAACTCTTTCTGAGTGATGTCATGCACACAGCTCTGACAAGTAAAACTGGTTGTCTTGGTTATCTAGCAAGTTCTTTCACTGAAGACTTTCTCTTCATACCGGCAGAAAATAAAATAAGCTGTGATGGTACTAGAAAGTTTCCATGTACAAATTATACCCAAACCCACAGCTTGACTCTGTCTTGGACCTGTACAGGCAGAAGCTATCACAATAGGATGGGAAGCAGTGCTGGTGTGGTGGCAACACCTCTAATCCTGTGTGCTCAAATGGCCCAGTCAGGTGGGCTCCCATTTGAGGCCAGTCTGGGCAACCTAGTGCCACTGTCTCAAAATGAAATTGAGTTAAGTTGAGCTGGGAATTCAGCTTTGTGTCAGAGCACATGCCTGGCACTCACAAGCTCTTAAGCTCAATTCTGTGACATTTGAATCTTGGTTCAACTACTTACTGTGTGAAGATCCAGGTGTATTTCTTAAATTATTTCTTTAACCTATAAAATAAAAATAACCTTTTTTGGTATTAAAATAGCATGTGATTGCAGTTAACATGTGGTTACTTTTTTGGCTAGAGGTGGTTTTAGATATACAGAAATATGGATCCAAACAAGGTTTACACACAGTATCTGTTTCTTTTAAGTCTTTTTTCTACCTTTGTCTTGTATAGTACCTAAGCTCTAGACTTGTCTACAGTTTCTTCATGGAATTTTATTTTTAAGACAGGGTCTCATTATATAGTTCAGGCTGGCCTTCATCTCACAGCAATTGTCCTGCCTCAGCTTCTCAAGTGTTAAATGACAGCATGTACCACTATACCCACACTACTTCATAATTTAACTTGGGGCTCCACATTTGCTAGGTGAGCACTATATCCGCTACATCCTCAGTCACTTTCTATTTTACTTTGAGATAGTTTCATTAACTTGCTCAGGGTACACTTGGACTTAAGATCTTCCTGCTCTAGCCTCTGGAGTGCTTGGTTTTATAGGCATGTGCTACCATACCCCACTGCACTGACAGATCAAAATAACAATAATGATTTAACCAGTTTAGCCAGGTGTGGTGGCATACGCCTGTAGTCCCGGCACTGGGGCAGGACTGCTGAGAGATGGAGGCCAGCCTGGGATGTAAAAATGAGTTCAAGGCCCACCTGAACTGCCATAGGGAAATCCTGTCTCTAAAAGACAAAAATAAATAAATACATGAAATAAAGAAAAATTAACCAGTTTAAAAATAGAAAGCTTGAAGATCCTAGTAGTTCATGTCTGAGGTTATCCTCAGCACTCTGGCTGCTTGACGATCGAAAATTTAAGGCCAGCCTGGGTGACAGTCTGAAGTCAGCCTCAACAGGAGACCTCAACCAAACACCAAATTACACCATATAAACAAGGACAAAGTTTGCACTCCTAACTCACTATTCAGAGCCTTATTTTACTTCATTATCTTCATCTGAGGATGAACCCCTTAATGTACTAGGCTTAAAAAAAGGTAGCATCCTCTTTCTTCTACATAAAGTACTAGCCTAGTTCATTATACATAAGGTACTATGCTATGTATTTTCCATGCAGTTATAGATTCAATTGAATCATCAGAGTGACTCCTTAAGTTAGGAGCTGCTATCCTCAAAGCTGCAAAAGCTGAACCTACAAAGAACTTGAAAATGCTTATCCATTCTTTTCAGGCTAGCCTTGAGCTCACTTTGTAGCCCAGGCTGGTCTTGAACTTGCATCTATCCTCCTGCCTCAGCCTCCTGAGTGCTGGGATTACAGGCGTGAGCCACCATGTGTGGCTCATTTTGGCACTGTTAACAGTGAGAATAAATATAAATTGAGAGGTAGGAATACCTGACACAGTTGTGCTTTCCTCCACCTCTGTCATTGAACTAGTCATATGCAACTTGGCCAAATTTGAGTTTTTTTTTTAAAGAAATGCAAAAGCATTAACAAATTGTAATGTAACATGTCATAATCTCTAATATTTCACACATGCATGATAAAAGAAAAGTTTTACAAGACTACATCATACAACCTGAAAACTCATACTCACCTTGCCAAATGCAAACAGTTTGCTCTTCATGTCTTCAGGAATTGAAGCTGAAGATTCAACCAACCTAGGACTGAAAATATTGGGGGAGAAAGCATTTGTAATGAACATGTACAGATTTTTTTGGTCATTATGTCCTAAAGAATATAGCACAACAATAATTTACACACAATTTATGTTGTATTATGTTCAATTATTTTAAGTAATCCAGAGATGACTCAAAGTACATAGGAGGATGTGTGCAGCTTGCATAACAATATTACACCATTTTGTGGTGAGAGGGAAGGGATTTGTGCATGGGAGAATTTAGGTCTCCAAACAGGATCCTGGAACCAAAGTCCTGTGGACACCTAAGGACAACTGCATTTATATCAAACTATGTTATATTTTATTAAGTTATGAGGTATGTAATCAAAATACACATTGCTTAAATTTAAAAATACAGTAAAATACACATTGCCACTAATCCCCCTCAAAATACTCCCCCTTTGAACACACTTAAACCATCATTCTTGCCACTTTCTAAAGCAGTTCTGGAAGTTTTGCTTTCACTAGTTTCTACAAGGTGGAATTAAAACCAGCTGACAAAAATGACAGCACAACCTCATCTACACCTTGTTCACCAGATCTGAATTCCAGAAATCTTCAGAAAGCGGCAAGGTCAAGAAGTAAGAGTGTTCAAAGTGAAAAGTATTTGAGGGATTTACTGTAATATAGCTATTACTGTAATAAAACCTTAGAAACTGAAATCATATTTGTGATCACACTGTGCATATATATGGCGGAGACAGGATCTCACTATGTAGTCCAGGCTGCCATTCAACTGACAGTGATCCTCTGGCCTCAGCCTTCCAATTGCTGGGATTACAGGGTGCACCACCATGCCTGACATATAAATGTATATTTACTTACATGTTAAATACTGATAATTAACCTAAGAGCTGCTGTCTCATCTAGTTGCTAAATCCTTATTAGTCAAAAGTGTCCGGGTCCCAACGGGCTTGGTTTAAGAGTGTGCTCCAGAAAAATCACGCTGAGGAAAGAGGAAGAGGGATAAAGTTTCAGAATTGCAAAATAAGTACTTTTTACATTAAAGTATATGCAACCTGTAGAAAACTGTAATACAGAGAACCACCTGAAAGAAAGCACAATGTCTCTTCTGAAGCACTATCTGCCTACACTATGTATAGTTATAATGATTAAATACATTTTTTTTTGTACTGAGGGTAGAACCTAGGGCCTGTGCCAAGCTAACAATCTCCCAGTGAGCCACACTCCTGGCTCCTAAGCCCTTTGTTTGAAGACAGGGTCTTGCTATGTAGCCCAGGCTGCCTTGAACTCAGTGATGCACTTTCAAATAGGTACTTTTGAGCAGGTCAAAAAAGACACAGAATACATGCTTTGGGGGTGGGGTTGCACAGAATGGTCACAAAAACTGAGGTTGAACTTTTAAGAATCTTACCCATTGTCACACAGCTGGAAAAGGGCTCTGGCATCATGTAATTCTCCAGGTACTAACGTGCTGTCCCTTCCCACGTACACACATGAATCAGTTTTCCCTGCCTCTCAAACAGGTCAGGCCAGGAACAGAAGAGCTTTGTGGGCACTGTCACTACCTTCTCTACTTCTAATTAACCAAGTCTACCTCCTGAATAGACAGTGGTGCTTCCTCTGGACCAATTACTAAATCTAGCTAAACTGGTATTTTCAAACACAGACAAAACTTTCATTTTCCCACTTAAATTAATTCAATGCCCTTTAACTGTTATAAGAAAATAATTTTTTTCATGTCTTAGCGTCTATCACCAACACCTGGAGGTTGGGGTAAAAGACTGGTGGACCACATCTCCATTTTGATTCAGGTTAGTGGGGGTCAGGCTTTCAGTCTGTCTCTCTTTCCTTCCTTTCTCTTTCTTCCCCCTCCCGCCCTTTTCTTCTTTCTTTGTAGCACTGGGGACTGAACCTAGCACAAGTTTTGCAAGCACCACCATGCAATAGACACCATCAGTCCCACAATTAGAACATTTTTATTTTGTGCTGCATGTAGTAGCATACATCTATAATCTCAGCACTCAGAAGGCTGAAGCAGAAGGACCACTGCCAAGTTCACAATCAGCCTGAAATATGTAATATCCTGGCTTAAAAAAAAAAAAAAAACTAAAAATCTTAGACAAGACCTAAACTGCCCAGGCTAGTCTCAAACTTGATCTCCTGCTATGACCTCCAGAGTAGCTGGGATTATATGTGTTTGTCAGTAGCCCCAGCTAGTTCTCAAATGTTGGAAAACAAAACTCAGATCTGCCCCCAGCCTCTTACACTGCCTCCATCATACATGATTGTCAACATTTTGTATTTTAGCAATCTTTGAGCTAATATATCCAACCCCCAATAAAACGTAAGGTTCTTGGTGAGCCTACATCTTTATAGTTCAAGTGAATCTATGGGAAATTCCAGCTTGTAAGTATAGTTTCAACCACCGTCACAACAGATCATTCTCCACAGGCCTGATGCTAAGCCAGCCCACTTGCAAAATAAAACAGTAATTTCCATCCTTAAGACCCTTGGAAGGGGCTGGGCGCAGCGGCACACACCTGGGATCCCACCACTTGGGAAGCTGAGGCAAGAAGATCCCACCAAGTTCGAGGCCAGCCTGGGCTACATGGTGAGCTCAAGGCCCAATTTTTCTCAAAAACAGCAGCGCAAGGAAAAAGTGAGCCTTCCTTGAGGCTCAAGGGAGAAGCTGGACGGGCATGCGCCACCTATGTGCTCCAAGGCGCCACCGCTCCCCGCCCCCACCCAAACGCCAGTGATTCTCCCACTAAAGGCAACCACTTCATCAATGCTCTTTCCACCCACAGCTCTTTCTGAAACTCCCGGGCGCAGGCCCTGTCATCCAAACTAGCCTCATTGACCTAGGAACCTATACTTTGCATAGCCACTTCCACGGGAACGGAGCCCCGCCACGAACACGCGCGACCCCGAATCCACGTGTGCTCCCAAATCCTGGCTCATGGCAAACCCCCAGGAAGCTCTACCTCAACAAGCTTCACAACAAGCGCTGCTTGGCCCCTTCCCCGGCCCTCACCGCTTACCTGGAACAGCTGCTCCGTGGCTTGGCCAGCCACTCACACCTCCCGCACACTCCGCACTCTAAGGAGTGCGCGGCTGAGACCGCCGAACTCCAGTCAGCACGCGGCTCCCAACCTTCCCGTGGCCGCAGTGCACGACGGGTAGGCGGGCAGTGGGCGGGAACTTACCCGCGCATGCGCAATGGCCCGGCCTACTGTGCAAAGTCTGAGGAGCAGCTGAGGAGAGCGGGTGGGCTCCTTAGCTTGAGGCTTTGGCAGTCTTCTCAAATCTTTTTCTGTTTTGAGTACCTGGATACTCAGGTCTTTGCGCTGAGCTACATCGCCAGGTTTTTTTTCTTTTCCTGTCCTCCAGACAAAATCTTGCTAAATTGCTAAATCATGCAGGCTGGGCTTGAATTTTCGATCCTCCTGCCTCAGCCTTCCAGAGTGCTGCAGTTATAGGCGTGTGCCACTACGCTTGGTCGTTTTCAGTCTCCTATGACCATGTTTTTATTGCTACCAGCGACCAGAAGATTATAGTCAAGTTGCAGACTGGTTTGAGGTTTTTTTGTTTTGTTTTTGTGTTACTGGGGATGGAATGCCCAGACTTGTGTGTACGTGGTAGACAATCGCTGTACCACGGGAGCCATGGGTCCTGCCCTACGGGTTTGTTTTGGTTTTGGTTTTTGAGTCTGGGTTTGGCTTTGTATACAGGTCTGGCTGGCCTTGACCACCCAGCCTTGTGGGCGGGATTAGAAGGAAAAAACCTCCCCATCTCAGCCAGCAATAGGGCTTGTCATCCCAGCACTGAGGGTGGGGTGGGAGGAGGCTGAGGCAGGAGGATCCTGTGAGTCAAGGCCTTCCTAGGCTATGTAGTGAATTCAATGTAAGATCAGCCCGAACTGCCTGAGGATACCCTGTCTCAACCAACAGAGCAACATAGCACAGGCAACAACAACAACCCCAGAATCTCCTCCTGTCCCAGGGTGAGGAGGTAGAAGTCTGTGGGGAGCTGCGTCAGTAGCCTGGAGGGGCAGACGGCGTAGATGGAAGGGGTGCTCACCTCGGAGCTGAAGGAGGAACTGGGGTGGTTTGCATGAAGCTGGGTAGAACAGGGAACCCCACCGACTCACCTGAGAAAGGGGCATTTGGGCAAAATTTAAGAAGTGATGATGAATCGATGGGACAAATTGGAAAAGAAAACTCTTCAAGGCTGAAGAGAGCTATAAGGAGCCTGTTAATGATGCCTGTGGATTGAGCCAAGGCCTTCCCACTTAGGACAAATGAGCTGAAAGAGATCTTTTGACTATACTCAATAGAGAAGTGAGGATAGGTGTGGTGGTGCCGGGAGGCTGAAGCAGAGCATTACAAAATCGAGTTAATCTAGGAAATTTGGCAATTTGGTGAGGTCTTGCAGGGTGCAGTAGCACATACCTGTAATCCCAGCACTAGGAGGCTGAGACAGGAGGTTCTCTGCTTGTTTGAGGTCAGCCTAGGCTACAGAGTAAATTCAAAGCCTGAGCTGTACAGCCAGACCCTGTTTCAACCAACCAACAAACAAGGCCGGAGATATACTAAAATAAATTAAAGAAATAAAAATTTAAATGAGTCAATGCTAAAAGGCCTGTTGGGCAAGTTTTAGATTTTGATTATACCAAGTGGAAAAGGAAAGCCATTGAAGCATTTTAAATATAACGTAATTCCAGCTACTTCGGAGCCTGAGACAGGATTTCTAGATCTAGGCCAATCTGGGTAGTCAGTCTCAGAATAATAATAAAAGAGGGTAGGGAGATAGTTTACTGGTAAGTTGTCCCAGAGTTTCATCACAGTCACACACACAACACACAGCTGGGGAGGGTGGCACACGCCTATAATCCCTGTATTCTGGAAGCAGAGGTTGGCCAGAGAACTGCCATGAGTTCAACGTTAGGCTGGGCTACACAGAGAACTCCAGGCCTGCCTGAATACATGCAAGGCCTTGCCTCAAAAAAGCGAAAGTTGATTGTTACACATTGGATTCTTCTTTTGTAAATTTAATTCAGGGGCTAGGGATGTAGTGTGGGGGTAGAGCTAGGATTATGGGCATGTTGTTGCACCATACCTATGGTGCAATTAGACTCTCTCTCCCTTCCTCCTTTTCCTTCCTTCCTTCCTTCCTTCCTTCCTTCCTTCCTTCCTTCCTGTATGGTAGGGCTGGGGAATGCTGTGCAAACTGAACAGCGTGCCTCACCGCGGCAGTGGGGAAGCAGTGGGGTCTGAGGAGTTGCCGGGTGGAATTTCTGATCCAGGAGCTGCAGGAAGACCTCAGGCTGGAGAGGGGCCTCGAAGCCCTGGCTCACTGTGCAGAGCCCTGGGTGGCAATGAACCCAAAACATTGTCTTTTGCTATCTTCCGGGAGAATAGACATAAAAAAGTTGGATAAGATAAAGGACCAGAAGATAAAGGATCAAAGGAAGACGTTTTTGCCCCAAGGCAAAACTTTTTACTTTTGTTTTGTGGAACTCACCAAAATCTGCTTAAATTGTGCTTTAGAAAACTTTCCAAAACGCCTGGTCATCCCAGCACTTGAGAGCCTGAGGCAGGAGGGTTATGTTCAGCATGATCTTTTTTTTTTCTTTTCTGGGGGAGGAGGGAAGGGTCTGGCGATGCAGTTCAGGCTGACCTTGAGCTCACTATATAGCCCGGGCTAGTTTCGAATTTGCAAGGATTCTCCTGCCTACACTTCTAGAGTGCTGAGATTACAGGCGTGCACCACTAAGTCAGGTTTAAGAAGTCTTTTTTTTTTCTTTTTTTTAATCATCCCAAAGCAGATGCGGTGGGAAACCTTGTCAAGGACTGGGGAACACTCAGGTTCTGCTGCGGCTCCGAGCAGTAGGAGGCAGCAGAGACCAGCGCGGGAAACTTGCCCTGTGTGGAGGTCGGCGCTCCCCGACTCTGCGCACGCGCGGGCGCAGTGTCTCAGCCGCCCTGGCCGCAACTCTGCCTTCCGACGACGTCAGGCGCGGGACTTGAGAGCGAGGCCTGGATTTGTACCGGGCTGCCGTGCTGGCGAGGGTATTGCAGGCGATCTGTGGATGCTCAGCACGTGCGCATGCATCCGAGCTCCTCAGGATTCTGCTGGGCTAGAAACGTACGTGTGTGTGTGTGTGTGTGTGTGTGTGTGTGTGCTCGTGTAGTGCTGGGGTTGACCTCTGGGCCTCCTACGGGCTAGCTAGCACTCTACCACCGAGCTATACTAGCCGTAGAAACACTTTTTTAAAAGAAGCATGTTTGAATGTGTGAAAAACTTGTGTAGTGGTGCAAGGAATGGATTTATAGCACTGGTGAAAAAGCAACAAGTCTTAGTTCACAAAATCCAGGAAGGAAAAAAACAAAAAGAAAAACAGGTGGGCATAATGGTGCTCACCTCTCATCCGAGCACCCTGGGAGACTGAGGAGGAGGATCACAAGTTCAATTTCAGTCTGGGCAACCTAGCAATTTATTGAGACCCCATCTCACAAACAAGATGCGCTTGGAGCACAGGCCTATAATCCCAGCACTCGGGGGGCTGAGATAAGAAGATCGCCGCAAGTTTGAGGTCAGCCTGGTCTACAAAGTGAGACCCTGTCTCAAAAAACCAAAACCAAACAAAAACCGTCCTCCACGAGTGGTGTTCAGCTCCTGTGAGGCTTTGGTATAGTAGAAGTGCTGACATGGTCCAGGGCTTTTTCCCTTTAGGACCTTGATTTCCTGGGGTAAAATTAAAATCTCTGCCACAGGTTCCTCAGATAGAGAAGGATGACTTGTGGAGTAGCTGACCCATGTTTATCATGTAAGTCTTTACCTACAATAAAAATGCGATCAAACCCCCTCTGCTATGAAAATAAAATTTCCATTTTTCATTGTTATATTGTGTTCGTTTTGTTTTATTGTGTTTTGTTCTGAGTCAAGGTCTCCTTATGTAGTCTGGCCTTGAGGTCAGACCATCGATCCTTCTCTGCCTCCCGAGGGCTGCAATTACAGGCATGTGCCACCACGCCCAGCTGGATTTTGAGTTTGAGGCCAGCCTGGGCCTGAAACCTTTTGAATATTATAAAGCCATTTTCATGGTAGCAAGGACACAATAAAATGAATACTAGGTCATACAAATTTGTTGACAGTACGCAGACACCTGCTCTTATTTCCGGTTCTACCTCTCCAGCGAACGAGATACATCTCTGTTGTCAGAGACCATTCTGCTCTGCCGCTTCTGAGATTTTTTTCATTGGTGCATGTTTGCGGTACAGAATAATTACACTCATCTTGGGGAATTAGTACACATACCTGCCTGTTGTGTTTGATGTTTAGATGTCCCCTCCAAAACCTCATGCACTCCTAAGCAGGGCCTCTGGGAAGTGATTGGGTGGTGGAGGTGTAATACCCAGCAGTGCTTTAGTCTGCGGAGGAGTCTGTAGCTAAAACGTGATGTGACAGCAGCGGAAGCCTGCTAGGAGGCGGTGGTCACTGGGCGGGTCCCTGTCTCCCTCCTCCTCCTTCCTTCATCTCTCTCTGCTTCTAGCTACCAAGCTTTGGGCTGTTTCTTCCCTGCCATGTCCTTCTGCCATGCCACCTGCCCTGGAGCCAGCTGACTGGCTGAAACTTCTCCAAACTGTGAGCCAAAACAAACTTCCTCCTTAGAGTTGTAGGTGCCTGGTATTGTGTCTCAGTGAGGAAAAAGTAACTAAGACAATATCACAGTTTAATCATTTTCACTCCCCTTCCCCTACCCCCTCTTTTTATCGTTGCTGTGATAAGCTTGAATTGAGAAAATAATGGAAATAGAGACAAGCAGGCCGGGTGTGGCTCAAGGCCAGCCTAAACTGCGTAAGGAGACTCTATCTCAAAAAAAAAAAAAAAAAAAAAAAAAAATATATATATATATATATATATATATATATATATTCCCAGTTCTTGTCTCTATTTTTTTCTTTCTTTTTTTTTTTTTTTTTTTTTTTGTCTTTTTGAGACAGGGTCTCACTATGCAGTTCATGCTGGCCTTGAGTTCACTTTGTAGCCCAGGCTGGTCTCAACTCGAAGTGATCCTCCTGCCTCAGCCTCCTGAGTGCTGGGGTTACAGATGTGTGCCACCACACCTGGCTGATTTCTACCACCTTATACTCAACACTCTGACCACTTCTTAAAGAAAGGACAGCTAGACACTCAAATCACCCAGTGATTTATTGAACAATTATTGAAGTTGTAGAAGCAGAAATCTGTAATCATTTAATTACACAATAGTAAGGCTGCTGTTTAACTTTCTCTGTAAATTTGAGAATCTGGCTGGGAATTTAACTCCATTTTGTGGAGCATTTGCCAAACATAGGCATAGGCCCTGAGTTGTATCTCAAAAACTAAAAATTGGTGAGATCCCACTTTAAAAACTGTAGGCTTGTACTGTATTATGTGAGCTATCTAAAGCATTTTTTAATATAAAATTTACAAGCCAGTACATGTTTTAAACACAGTTAGCAATAGCTTGTGTTTTTATTCAGATGCACATGTGAAATTAGAATCTATACAGGAAATTATTTAGGGCCAGGCATGGTGGGATGTGCCTATAATCCCAGCATGCCAAAGAGGTTGGTTGAGGCAAGAGGATAACAAATTTGAGCCCAGCCTAGACAATTTAGCAACTTTAGCAAGATCTTGTCTCAAAATTAAACAATTAAAAAAGAGTGAGGATGTAGCTCAGTGTGGAGGCCCTACGTTCAGTCCTTAGTACTGTAAAAAAATTATTTAGGTTTTTCCCAGGAAGCTATAAATAACGAGGTAAGACATTTTGTTTGTGTGTCAGTGTAATCACAGTAACCCTATATGAGTACTTTCCATCCCTGAGGACACTTTTTTTTTGGAGCCAGGATCTTACTATGTAGCCCAGGCTGGCCTCATAACCACAGTGATCCTCCTGCTTCAGCCTCCTGAGTGCTGGGATTACAGGTGTGCACTACCACACCTGGCCCACTCTGGAGACACTGTTAATGCATTTTGATAGGGGGACAAATTCCATGACATTATCAGATTTCCTACTTAAAATTCTTTATTAATCCCCCAAACTTATGTTTTAGCAAAATAAGGGCTATTGGTTTAATGACTTTTCTCCTCTATAATGATCATCAAAAGAAATTTTTTTTTAATAATTTTTTTTTTGTCTTTTTCTTTTTTATCAGTACCAGGGATCGAACTCATGACTGCCTGCTTGCAAGGCAGGTGCTTATGCCTCTGAGCTATATCCCCAGCCCCAAGAAATTTGTTTTTTAAAAAACACGAATTTGTGAATGTCTTCCCCGAAATTAACTTACAAGTTCCTAGCACTAAGTTCAGTCTTTCAATAAATATAATTGAAGAACATATTTAACCACTTGGGATGAGTTAGTTGTTGATACCATTCAGACCTAGACAGGAGAGATTCATTTCCACGAAGGGAGACCCCTAAATTCTTTCTGATTTACTTTGTGTTTTACCATCCAAGGTGGAAGAGCATTGATTCCAGTCACAGCAGTGATGAGAGCTCATCCTGGCCACACATGTGGCCCTTTTAGAATTGGTGTTAGAACTGAAGCTTAGATGTTGACATTACTCAGGTCTTTTAAAGGAATTCTCTACGCAAAATAATCAAGGGCATAAAACAGAACTTCAAAGGAAATCAAATATAGGCTTCTTGCAATCCCACGATGAAAACAGATTCAGAAAGGGACATCGTGATTTTAAAATAAAATGAGCTACAACTTGTATTTCATACTTTTCCTTTACACCTTAATAGCATACAAAATACCATACTTTTATAAACACTACAGCTTTCCATATATAAAATGGCAGCAATAACTTTTTTTGACTTTTGATATAAATAATGAACTGATTATTTTCTCCCTATTCTGTAAATCCAGTCCACATATTTGATTTTAGAGGAAACACTAAAACATACTTTTGGGAAAATAATAGAAAAAAAAAAAACCCAACCTTCAAGTTCTTACACTTATTACCATTACAGAGCTTGAAAACATTACAAAATATTGTTTAATTTGTAGAAGAATAGAAATATTTTTTAATGTGCAGGAAAAGAGATTTTTTTGTGTGTATAGGCAAATAACAGTGTTTCAGACTTCATTTTTCAATTTATGTTATTTTCCTCTTTAAAAAAAAAAAAGTCAGGCAGGAGACAGTCCTGTGAGTGCAACCCACACCCAGGTCCTCTTTGGATGGAGAGGTCGGGGCAGCCTTGCAGGGAGGGCCATACGGGTGAGGTGAGCCATCCTTCACTCCTGCAGGCTTGGAGCTACCAGCTGCTGCAGGTTCTGTAGTGGGAGACAAGGGACACAGATATGATTTCAAAAAGAAATAAAGCAGAACACGATAGATGACTTTAAAAAGGTGCTACTACTGGGAGGCTGAGGCAGGAAGGCCACAAGTTGAAGGCTAATAGGATACCTTGGTGAGATCCTATTTAAAATAATAAATCGGCACGGTGTCACCTGCCTATCAGCCTAGCACTCGGGAGGCTGAAGCAGGAGGATTGCTGGAAGTTTGAGGCCAGTCTAGACTAAATGAGTGAGTCCAAGACCAGCCTGTACTACATAGTGAGACCCTGTCTTGGAAACAAAAAAGAAAAACAAAACAACAAAAAGATTTACCCCAGTGGTACAGCACCTGCCTGACATGTGTGAGGTCCTGAGTTCAATTTCCAGTACCCCCCCAAAATATATATCCTTTATTTTTGTTGCATTAAATATGTAAGGGGAACATAAAGTTAGTATAAAAGAAAATGTACCCTCTGCCATCAGAGAATTTGAGCTGGCACAAACAGGAAGGCAGAGTCCAGTTAAGCTGTGTATATAGTGCCACGGATCAGGAAGTTAGATGGAAGCCCACAAGTACCACTCAGAGGGCAGAAAGGGTGCATCTGATATGATTGGTAGGGCATCAGCATCAAGAGTTCCCTGGAGCATCAGCGAATGGAGAGGAAAAGAGTTAAAAGCAGGACAGTGCAGGCAGATGGGTAGCTTGGAACTGCGAGAGGTGAAGAGTGGGCTGACTTTAGGGGAATGCTGATAATACAGGCTCTGGAGAGTATTTATTTCACACTTCTATGAGCAGAGCAAGGTTAGGGTAGGTCAGGCGCCCTGCAGAGCTGGGATGGTGCAGACTGACAGCAGGTGGCTTGTCAGGGCCACCAGGGCTGGCTGCGTGGTCAGAGGCTGAGTCCAGGGGGTGCAGACAGGCTCAGGTCTTGTCCTTCAAGAGAGGGAAGGGGAAAGAGGTGATGGAGGAGATAGGATATGCAGAGAGGTACATTTTGTAAGCTCTTTGTCAGACTCTACGATTTCTTATTGTCCTGAAGGCTATGGAGAGAGAAGAGGATTTTAATCAAGATGTGACTGATACATGCCTTATACAAGGGTAAAAAAAAAAAAAAAAAAAAAAAAAAAGATGTGACTGAATGCAATGCTCCAGAAAGGTGAGATGTGAAGCTTTTCTTTTTTTCTTTTTACTGGTGCCTGGGATCGAACTCACGACTGCCTGCTTGCAAGGCAGGTGCTTATGCCGCTGAGCTAAATCCCCAGCCAAGATGTGAAGTTTTTAAAAATGCTATTTTTTTTAGAACACAAACTGGAAACCAAAGTCAGACTAGAGGGAGATAACAGGCACTGAGATGGGAGGAGGTAGAGATGGCAAAGAGGAGTAGATTCAAGAACTATTTCAGGGCAGAAACCACAGATCTGAGAACAAAATTAGACGTGAATAACAGAGTGCTGAGCTCAGACATTCACATCAGATGTGTCAGTAATGTATTTCCTCATACAGTGCCTGGTACACAGCACACTTCTCATCCACAGTAGACTTAGGGGTGTTCTCTAAGTTCTGCGAATGTCACAGAAACATCCGAGTGGGCAGAATTAGAAAGTTTAATTTTTTTTTGTTTATTTCATTTTTATTGGTACCAGAGATCGAACTCATGACCGCCTGCTTGCAAGGCAGGCGCTTATGCCGAGAAGCTAAATCCCCAGCCCCCAGAAAGTTTACTTTTAAGCATTCATTCATTCAGTATTCCTTACCATAGTCACTGGGGACACAACTGTGACCAAAGTCTCTATTCTCATGAAACTTGCAATGTCAAGAAGAGAGGCAGATGCTAAATGTATTATTAACCCAGTGGCAATAGGTGCCACGCAGAAAAGAGACTAGGGAAAGGGGCCCAGGATGTCTTGGGCAGGTGTAGTGTTGCCATTTTACCGGAGGAGCCATCGGCTTTTCTGATGACACAACATTGGCGCACAGAACTGCAACGAAAGAGTCCCGTGTGGGATGATAGGAACAGCTATTTTGGAGAAAATGATGTCTTAATAGGTAATACTGATTTAGTATCATCTTGTTTTGAAGTCTCATCAAGCTTTTGTTCTTCTGTCTCCATTGGTCTAAACAGGTTGTATCTTACTGGATTTTATTATGTATGATAGTATAAGCAAAAACTTTTATAGACAAGGAGATTATACAGAAACCATTATTCATTTTCTGTTAGTTGATTCTAAATACCCTGTAATACTGTCATTCTCTTGAATGGTTTTACATTGTTTTGATATATTTGATGCTACAGTATACGAAGTTGTACTCAAGGATTTCAAGGAAAGAGACAATATGGTAACTACTTTTATGTCGGGATTATCTTGTGGTGAAACACTATTTTGCTTAAATGGTTATGTTTTGATCTGCGCTGTTTTGCTGTTATGCTCTCTTTTATCTCAGTCTCCATTTTATTATTTACTTTTTTATTTTTATCCTTTTAATTAAGGGAAAAATAAATAAAAACTAGCAGGATATATTATAGTAACCTACTTTGACTTTCCATTATCTTGATTTAAAGCCCTGTATAGCTCTCACCATCTTGTTTTGACTGATGTCCCCCTATTCTGTTTTGCTTGATGGTACCAGGTTTGAAAGTTTAGGCAACAGCTGTGAAGATAGTGGGATTCATTATGATGCCCATTCTGGTTGACTATTATCTACTTTTGAAGACCTGTAATGTCTTCAATGTTTTGGTTTTGCCAGTTTTGTTCTTTACTGTTTTGTTGAATTTTATTATAACTGATGATATAGGCAATTCTATTAGAGATAGTGGGAGGCATTATGGTAACCGTTGTTGATCACCTTGTATTATGCTTTTACATTATCTATTATGTCCACCCTTTTGATTTGACTGACCCTGTTCTGTTATGTCACATTTGGTTCTACTCTCTTCCAAAAAAGTAATTAGAACTGTGCGAGCAACAGAACCCAAAATGTGTAATTGTCATTGTACAAAAGAGAGGAAAAGAAAGTGCTCTAAATGATATAACTGCATGTATATTTAAGTGTATAAGACAGATAATGATATTACTGAGTTTTGTTGGATCATTGAACAGAACTGTTTGCAGTCTCACTGTTGGAATGTCCACTTTATAAGCCTTAATTTTGTAACTTGAACAACTATTTCTAAGATGACAATATATAATCCATTAACTAGTGATTTCCTACTGTTTATTTTTTTTCTGTAAATCTGTATAACGTGTACCCTTTCTCTGCCTTTTTTGTTTTTCTCCTTAAATAAAATTAAAAAAAAGAGTCCTGTGCACAGGGCAGGCAGGGGCCTGAAGGGATTGCAGGTGGGAAGTGCGCCCCTCCCCATGCGTCCTCACAGGAAGTGATTCAACCTAGGCAGACACAGAGGGAGCAGCCGCAGCCAGGTGAGGCCACTGAAATCAGGACAGCGCTGAGGGGGTCAACAGGGAGCTTTGTCAGGAGGAAAAGAGGAGCACAGTGTTGGGAAGCGGAGGGAAAGGAATTCCCTGGGGTGAGAGGAGGAATATGGACCATCAGTCCAGCGGGCAGCAGAGAGGCTTGACAATCTCAGTTACCCCTTGCAGTGATGGAAAGAGGAGGTTTGAAAAATGTAAGGAAACTCAAGGCCATTAAAGGTTTGAGATCCATGCGAATGAGTACCAGAGGCCCCAGAGGGCAGCAGAATTCTTCCCTAGAGCCGCAGAAGTGCTGATTCAGCAGCACTTGGTGCAGAGGTGAGGTGGGGGTCAGGTGGCCCAAGAGGGAGAGAGAAGGGCAGCACAGAAAGCTGGGGGACACAGGCAGAGGTTTGGTCCAAGGGTAAGAACAAGGCGGGAACTGGAAGCGCACTTGGAGTGGTTAGCAAGAGTGACAGGCCAGTAATTAAAAATTATGCATTGAGAGGTACTTTTACTCAAATCTTTCCATTAGTCATTCCTCTAAGAAGTGGAAATACGCAGTAGGGAAGGACGAGGGCTTTTGCTTTTGACTCTTCCATACTTTGAAATAAATCTTGCACCATGAGCACATATTACAACTAGAAAGCTAAATAAAATATGTGTTGATAGGGTATGGAGCTCTCTGGTGCAGACTTATACATAAAAGCACTGCTGTGGGGGGCGTGACTGTGGGAAGAGGGATGTCACTACAATCTTAAGCCCCTCCCTGTCTAATTGTACCCCCTCTGTTGCTCTCACAGTAACCCCCAGGTTTGTATTTCCTGCTACGGCTTTGCTTGCCCTCTTCTACTCCAAGTCGCTTAGGGCTCAAGGCTACGCCAACCTTCTTCAGTTAAAAAAGTCAAGGAGAATCACTTCACTGCACACAGCATACCTTTGCTACCTAAAGGACTGGGTTGTACAGGCTAGGAAATCGTGCTGAGGACTACTGGGGAGGTCTGGGAAAAGACAAAAGAGAAAACAGGAAAGAGATAATAGGAACTCAACGAAATAAACAAAAGTGCTAAGCCACTCTAAAGGGTTAATTTGGAAAACTTGCAGTCAGTTGTTTACCTATCCTATCCTTTTACAGTCTTACCTGACCCTAAGTGAATCAAATAACTACTTGTGATTTTATCTAAGGCATGCAGAAAACGGGGGTTGGGGGGTGTGGGGGAAATGAAAGGGTAATTTTGCCTTAGAGCCCAGGACCTAGTCCCTCACCCAACTGTCAAAGAACCATTGTTGCCAAACACACAGAAAGTTGGAAAATACTTAGAACAGTGAGAACTGTAGCACCAAATTTGAAGGTAGTATTTGTTACTGGTACTGGTTGAAGATGACCTTGGGAACTTATCTTGATGTTTATCTTAAATTGGTTCTTATAATAATTACTGGATTACAACAGGTAACTTTTACACATTCTTTAGGGAACTGCAGTGGATAAAAGACCAGCCTACCCCCTGAAAATCTAAGCAGTAACTGGTGCTGTAACTCAAGCAGGTCTATAATGCTCTCAGCCAACCGAGATAAAGGATCTTTCTTACTAAGTGGTTGACATAGCTTTCATTTAAATTTCTCTTTGCTTGACAAAGTTGGTTTATAGATCAAAATTTCCCTTAACTTTGCCAATCAAACTTCTGTGCTCTGTCTAGTTTCCTTGCAGTCTTGATTTTGGTAGGGCGTGGTTTGTGGGGCTCACTAAAAAGACTTGTATCTGTGTTTTGCATGGTACCTCTCTGCCTACAGAGGTATTCTCTTGTACTGTAACATGCATGCCCTCCTCTTTGTTGTTTATGGAAGAGTGCTGGGGAAGGCCTGGAACCTCATCCCCTTCCGTATTTCACATGTGAGACTGAAAAGCTCTGCTGGAAACATTATCCACCACACAAACAAAAGGATAGTTTAGCACGTTAATCCTTTTAAAGCGTATTTCAATCACTATTAACTGGCTTCTCAGGGACATCCTACAGTATCTTTCTATAGTCCTCCACCAAATTTATGGTTCCACCTTTTATAACAAAGTAATTTTTTATAGGTAGAGAAGTTGGCTTTCTGTCTAAGTCCTCTGATAGATGCTTATTACTGAGTTGCTCCTCCTTTATTTAATTTCCTACTGCAAGGCTTTCCCTGGGTTTGAAAAGCTCCCATTAAACAACAGGCATAGTCACCATTCTTGCCATTGAATGAAGGCTACCATCAAAGCAACAATCTGCAGATCAACTGAATAAGCTAACTTAGCAGATGTCTTTTAACTAGCTGAAGGTACTTTTCTAGTATTTCCTTTAGGAAGGTATATTTTAAATGAACTAAGGAGCTTGCAATAATTTCATATGAAGTGAATTAAAACTTCAGCAGTGTTTGAAGCGAATTGCTGCAATCTGTACCAGAGACTGTGATGGTGTGAAATCACGGTCTCCTAGGGAGGGTAAGGACCAAAAGGGAGGAGCAAAATTCCATTCAGAATTTATTCTGAAAGATACAACCATCACGACCATTAGGGAGGGGAGGAAGATGCTGTGCTATGAAGTTGATTTTATTTATTTATTTATTTATTTATTTATTTATTTATTTATTTTTGGTACTTGGGTTTGAACTCACAACCCTGTGCTTGCCAGGCAGATGCTTATGCCACTGAGCTGATTTTAGATATTAAAGGTGGAAGAACTGAGCCAGCCCACCACCAGCACATGGCTGGAGTAAATCACCCAAATGCTTTCGAGGACGCAGTGGTCTAAGTGGGAACTGTGCTTGCTCTGGGTAAGATTTGGAGCTTTCAGCAGTTTCCAAAACTCACATTTAAAGAGTGCCTGATGTAGTTACGAACATTTTCACTCACATGAGATAGCCTTAGTTTCCCTTTTGCTAGCCCTGAGATTTGACAACTGTGGGGATTTTGCTTTCTTCCTTGGGGATAAAAGCAGTTCCCAGGCATCCTGTCACCTTATTCACTCATGAGTACACTTGCTTCACCACAGCCATTATCACGTGCTACACAATGCAAATAGGCTGATGAAAGGCTGCACAAGGGCTTTCTGTCAGGAGTACCTCAGGGGAAGGGCACCCGGGAGTGGAGCGGCATGCATCTCCGCTGAAGGCAGCTGTGCCTCTGCAGCTTTCTCCTCAGTGCCAGATTCACTGGAGGAAAGAAAGAAAGATTAGCAATATTTCAGAAAGTGAACTGCTGGGCAACCCGGAGAACGCAGCAGAGTTAGTCTCTTTGCAGCCAAACCCTTCCGTGCTGCTTTGCTATTTGTTCACATGTGATCCTGGTTAAAAAAAAAAATGTGATGCAGCTATGTGAGGTATACTCTTAACAGCTAATAACAAGATCTCCACGATAATCTCCTCCTGCTTTTATGCACTTTCTCACTACTTGCTCTTAGGCTTTTCATTTTATGCAATCGCAGACATTTTACAAGAACATTACCCGGGGTGCTCCGAATTTCAGAAAAGTAGAAAGGGTTTGAATGGCAGTTGCCGTAAACAATAAGAAGGGATCAGATTGCTTCCTCGGAGTTGCTGACTTGGAGCTTTTTTCTTATTTGTGAGAAAGCACAGACTAGGGGATTGAAATGACCTCAGAGCAACCAAACATCTGATGAGCTGAAAAGCAGTTTGAAGAGCTTTAACTGTTTACATATCATTTCCATACGTTATCAAGTCAATACAGTTACTTTATATGCTCGGATACAAGATCACTTTCCATTGAAAGCTTACAGTTTTTGAGTGTCAGGAAACTCAACTTTCTGATTTTTTTTCTTACCAGGGCTTTGCAATCTTAGGTTTTTGGCTTTGAAATAAAAACACACTAGAGTAATTGCCTACTAAATTCCTGCTGGTCAAATACAACATAATTGATATCATCCTTGAAAAATAAATCAGATAAATTAATCTAAGTTGTCTTAACCATGCATATTTTTGGCTCTCTATGCACCCTGGAAATAAAAGCTGCACTTTTTTCGTTCTAAGTGCCGTACACTATATAACTCGCCATGACAACTATTGGCATGTTTGCTGATACCATCTGCATTTTGTCACTTCTTCATGACTTTTAAACATTGTCCTCTCCGGCTAGCAACATGCTCTTTTGATAAAACTGCTCTGGGTTTTGCGTTTTACTCCAAAATTCATTGTGGTTAACCTCTGCAAAGGAGAGGCCAGCATTTTCGTTTCTTTTCATTTGTCAGGACAACATATGTATATTTTTTTGCATTTAGAAAAATTGTGGTAAAAGTATTTATCAATATTTTAAAGTATTTTTTTTAAACCGGTACTGGGGATTGAACTTATGACCACCTGCCCACAAGGCAGGTGCTTATGCCACTGAACTAAATCCCCAGTCCCAATATTTTAAAGTATTTTAAAGTTTAGCCATTTAAAAAATATCCAAATAATACCTCCAGCAGGATAGACACTTAGAAATCCCACATGTACCCTCAACTGCAAACACACCTAAGTAACTTTCAGCATACACGCACGCTCGTACTCCCAGATACAAACAGGCAGAAGCACAAATCACTCACCCCAATGCATCAAAGTCCTACCTGGTCTCTGTCCCTTGATAAGGAGGAGACTCATCATAAAAATTAAAAATACGCAAAAAACTTGCCAAAATCTCATTTTTCTGCCACACTCGGGCGAACAGTAGCTCTCGAAGTGAAGCCCCAAATCTGTCAATAGTCTGTGCAGTATCCGTATGGCTGTCCTCACATCCTAATAACAAACTCCGAGGGCTGCCAGCTGCGTGCTCCAGCGCGGTTAATGATCACATCGGACAAGGTTACTGGTGCGCTCGGCTCAGTGGTCAGAGCCTCTCTCCGCCGAGCCCCTCCTCCACTCCTTTCCTCCTCTCCTCTGCCCCTCCCCTTTATTTCCATAAGCAAATATTGGTGAAGTAGACCATTCAGGCATGCGGTAATTTCAGTGGGAAATTACTCGGGAAGCTCCCAGGAAGGGGAGTTAAATTCAATCTGGCCATGGAGAAATATGTAAAGCAAGCGTGATGACGCTGCGCCCCCCTCAGCATTTGCATCTGTTTAAACTCTGTGGTGCCCATATTGGTGCCACATGCAGAAACCCATGGACATGACAGGAAGTCTCTCCTTTGTCTCTTTCCTAAGGAATTCTGCTTTCTAACTTCAGACTCCCAAAGTCTTTGCGCAGAACGTGTGCTCAAATGCTTTATCTTTACCAAACCAACTACAAAGCAGTGTCTATGCACACTAACTCTCCAAACTGCTTAATTTGCATGTTTTTAATCATTAAGGATGCCTTGGGTTTAGCATGTTCTGAAATAAGTCTGCGGTCTTTATATTTTTTATTTTCTGAAGTGCAATTTAAAAAGTAATGGAAATAATTTTCATCTACAAATGTCCAAGTTTTGAAAAAAGGAAGTCACAGACACATGAAATCTATGCTGTGTTGTAAATTTATGTGTGGTAAAATCGAAGTCACAGAAATTAGAGTTCCAGATAGAGTTTTTAAATTCATTTTGTAATGAATTCAGAAGAAACAAAAGCAGCCTAGCCTTGTCTTTTGCATATATGTAACAAAAGCTTTTTGCTTCTTTATATGTAAATAAACAGCTGTTACAAATGGAATTTGCTGTGCTTACTATAAAGTAAACCAGAATGTTAGTATAAATACACCCTGAAATATAAGTGGAGCCAAAATACTAAAACGAAAGCATATGTAACATCTTACAATCACAGGGAATTTTGTTGTATTTGGCTTCTTTGTCTTCAGGTGGTTGGCGCAATCTTGAGCTTCCTAAGCCTTGAAATTAATCACAATTTGTCTTGATTTTACAGGTCAATCTGTAAAATTCCTCACCTGTCTAGTTATGCATGCAGTGTATAACAAGCAATAGCATGCGGAAATTCTTAAAATCACTGTCTTACAATTGTGATAATATTTTCCTGTTTTGGAACTAGAAAACTTAGTGTTAAAGGGGTTCTACTTATCTATATTTGTACATTAGTTTGTTAAAAAAAATTGAATATAAGGATTTATACTTATGACATAAAAGTACTTTATGAATGGCAAATAATTTATTTAGCTTGATTTTTTTTTATTGTCTTTTTGAGACAGGGTCTTGCTATACAGTTCAGGCTGGCCTTGAGCTCACTTTGCGGGGCTGGTCTCAAACTTACAACATCGTCTTGCTTCAGCCTTCCAAGTGCTGGGCTTATAGGTGTGTACCACTACACTTGGTTTTATTTAGATTTTTAAAGCTCCTGTCTCATCTTTTTTAATATAGCATATTGGAAAACTGGAAACTAACAAACCAAACGGTTAAATCCTGCCAACCAGAGGCAATAAATGTAGATTTTAGCAATGTAACTTCAATGAAATTTAGTACCCTTCTTAGATAAGTAAGATAATGACCTACCATGGACAGCAAATATTGATTTAAAATCTTTAGATTTTATTATTGGGTGATCAATAATGAATTTCTAGAATATGACTAATATACACAAGTGCTGTAAAAGACAGTCATCTTACATCTTTACCAATCAAGATAGAACAGAGTGAAAAAGTCATATAACCACTTAGAACATCAATTTTGTCATCTTTGAAAACTCACATGAAATAACTTGGTTTCCTATCCAGACAGTTATAGAGATTTAGTGAGAATCTTTTAAGCTTACAAAAGGTTAGACATTTATTTATATAGTTTAAATTATTCTTTAAAAATCAGAGAAGCTGGGCATAGTGGCACACTCCTGTAATCCCAGCACTCAGGAGGCTGAGGCAAGAGGATCATGAATTTCAAGCCAGCCTAGGTCACATAGCGAGACTCTGTCTCAGGAAACCAATCAAACAGTGTCTGCCTGGCAAACGCAAGGTTGTGAGTTCAATCCCTGGAACAAAACAAAACTAGTTGGGGATTTAGCTCAGCAGCATAAGTGCCTGCCTTGCAAGCATGGGGTCATGAGTTTGATGCCCAGTACCAAAACAAAACAGAACAAAGAATACCAGATGATGTATTTAAACAGTTGCTTTTTAAAGGACAGTGATAAAACAATTGTAGAGTTGATGGGAATTGGACCAAAATGTCCGACAGAGGGAGAGTGGCATAGGATCTGGCATTTCTGTGGAATTCCAGTTCACGCTAATGGTAAATCACTCATCGTAACATTGAATAATTAAAGGTGTGGAAAAATTTTTGCAGGAAAGGGTTAAGTTAGAACAATGCAAGTAGCTGTGTGACTGATACTCAGCTCACTAAGGAGTCTTCCTTGTTTTTGAGAACAGTAACCTCAACTTCTGTGCACCTGTACCATCGTTCTGTTTCCATCGGGCCAAACCCTGTCCCTCCGGGCCTGGTGCCTTGCTAAGAGTGCTTCATAAATGACTTCAAGTAACCACCCAGAGATAATGTCTACCTGTTTACCAGATGAGACACTGACAGCTAGGGAAGGGGACTGGATGGGATTTAAATTCCACAACCTGAGCTCTCAAGCATTTTGTTATTCACCTTGCTACATCTGAATTTCAGTTATTGAAAAACTAGCCTATAGGTATAGAGGTTGTTTTAAAAATAAGCCAGAAGGGCTGGGGATCTAGCTCAGTGGCATAAGTGCCTGCCTGGCAGGCATGAGGTTATAAGTTCAATCCCCAGTACCACAAAAAAAAAAAAAAAAAAAAAAAAAAAAAAAAAAAAAAGCCAGCAATCAATTTCTTGGACTAGCATGCAAAGTGTCCCTTCAAAATTTCATGTACATCCAAAACTTAAAATAGGGCCTTTGGAGATGTAATTGGCTAAAACTGAGCTTATGCCGGAGGACAGTGGGTCCTAAATCACATATTTCGTGTGATGGCTGTCCTTACAAAAATGGAGGACACAGAGACACACGGCAAAGAAAGAACAGCAGGTGATAGAGGTAGAAATTACAGTGACTGTAGAGTACAGTCAAGGAACAAGTGCGGGAGACACCAGCGACAATCAGAAATCAGGGAGAGGCGTGGGACAGAGTCAGTCCTGGTCACACCTTAATTCCTGTCCTTTCCTTTGTCTTTTCTTCCTTTCTCTTCCCTTTCCTTCCTTTCCTTTTCTCTTTTCTTTTCCTTTGAGACAGGGTCTCAATAGTTCAGACTGGCCATGAACTCAAGTGATTGTCCCGCCTCATCCTCCCAGGTCCTGGGAACAGCGTTGTGGCCTCTGCTACCTACCATGCCTTGCTTGATTTTGGACTTCTGGCCTCCTGAGATATAAGTTTCTGTTGTTGTAAGTCATCCAGTTTATGGTTGTTTGGGAAATCAATATGACACGATACATAGATGTGAATATAGAATTGTAAGCACATATATAATACACACCTATACAATGTCATAAAATGCAGTGATAGACGCTGCATATTTAACAAAAGGTATTTGTACCATCATACTCTTTTAAGTTTTAGCTCCGCTTTACACATGTGAGAATAAACTCAGAGGAGTAAGTGACTTTCACAAAATTAAATAACTCATAGCAAAGATGAAGCCTGGATCCATCCTCTCCTGGGCTGCCTCATATCGCTCTCACTTTCCTCCTGTGTCAGGAATTCTCCCCTGTCTGCCCTGTCTCCTTTTCCACTTGTGTCTTTTCCCCTCTCTGTTCCATCTTGCTCCTTCCCTACAGAAGCATTTGCTCCAGCCTTGGCATCTTCCCTTCCCCATTCCTGGCATCCCCATGGCTAACGTCTGACATCCCGAAGTTGTTCCTTTCCCTTCCTGCCTTTGTGCAAGACCTGCCCTTGATGTTGTCTGCTTTTAAGGCTGGGCTGAAACCCAGGCCTGTGCTAATTGGAAAGCACCCCACCACTGAGCTACACCCCCGGGCCAAAAGAATTAAACTGCTCAGTGCACCTTTTCTGTTTGTTTGTTTGTTTTTTTGAGGCAGGACCTTACTATGTGGTGCAAACTAGCCTTGAACTCACAGTGATCCTCCTGCCTCAGCCTCCCAAGTCTTGGAATTACAGGCGTGTGACACCAGGCCAGACCTATGTGACTTTTTCCACATTTTACTTTGTCCAGTTTGGGTTGCTCTTTGCTCCATTTGTTCCTCTTTTCCTGTTTTTCTCCTACTGTGTATGATGATTTGACTCTAGAATGTTCTCCCAGGGCTCCTGTGTGGAAGGCCTGTTTTCTAGCACTATGGAGTAGGAGGAGGTCACTTGGGTCCCTCCTGCTCTGCACCAGGTCCCGGCACTATGATGTGTGCCTTGCTTTGGGCCAGGAGGAACCAGTTTTCCTGGACTGCAACCTCTGAACTCAGGAGCCCAGAGAGGTCTTTCTTCCTGCAAATTGTTTGTCTCTCAGCTGCTCTGCTGCAGTGAGAAAAAGCTAACAAACCATGTTTCTTTCCTTTGGGAACATCGTCCCTGTCTGCCCCCACTGCCATTCGTGGAATCCTGTTCTTCAGAGCTTTCCTTGAGTCACTGGGAGGGAGGAGGTGGACAGGACAGGAGGAGCTCAGCGGTGCAGGGCTACCCGGCCCTGCAGGATGCCCAGCACCTCTGAACCGGAACGAAAGTAACTATCCACTGAGTTTTCCAAACTGCCCTGTGCCAGCCTGGTGCCAGGGATATAATGAAGGGCCAGACATAGTCCAAATCTTGAATTTAATGTTCATTTATTCATCAAATTAATAAAATTTTCTTATAAAACTTGTTAGGTTTCCTCTATAAGCATTTTCTGCCTGGTTGCTGCCAACTGAAAGTGATTTTAATTCTGTTCAGGGAATCTGGAAAGTTTCCTGTTATCATAGCCTTTTCACCACCGTAGAATTTAACGCTTCCCCTGCGGGCTGTAATTCTTTGCTCCT